GTGTGTTCAAGAAGGGGGCAGACTACTTATGGAGGAAGGTGAAAAGGAAAAGGTGTATTTGACAACTCTAGGAAAAAAGAAGAAAGATCAGGCCAAGGACAAGGAAAAGGGAAAATTCATCATCAAAAGGACATTAAGAAGGAGATTGTGTGCTTCTTTTGCAAGAAGAAGGAGCACCTTAAGAAGCAATGCTCCAAGTTCATGAAGTGGCTTGACAAAAAAGGTACTTAACTCTCACTTGTTAGTTATGGATTCAATATGATTGATGTTAATCATAACACATGGTTGGTTGATTCTGGTTCTATGATCCATGTGACCAATTCACTGTAGGACTTGCGAAACCTGGGTTAACCAGTGAGAAGTGAGCGTAGCATCTATTTAGGAAATAAGATGCCATCGCATATGGAGGCCATTAGCACATGTAGATTGATTTTGAGTAGCGATTTTATTTTAAATTTAGAAAAGATTTTTTACATTCTCAGTTTTTTTAGGAATTTGATTTCAATTTCTAGACTTGTATCATATGGTTATTCCTTTAACTTTTTAGAATCTCGATTTAATTTATTTTATAAATCTGATGTTATTGGATGTGATACTTTGTATGATGGTCTTTCTCTTATTAATTTGCAAAACGATGACAACCATACTATCATGCACATTCATGAAAATATTGGTATTAAACGATCTGTTGTGGATGAAGAGTTTTCTATGTTGTGGCATCGAAGATTTTGACACATCTCCATTGATAGAATTAAAAGGTTGGTGAATGATGGGAAACTTAGTACTCTAGATTTTACAGACTTTGAGACTTGTATAGACTACATTAAGGGAAAGCATACTAACAAGTCGAAAAAGGGTGCTAAGAAAAGCTCTGAATTACTGGAAATTATACACACAGATATTTGTAGCCCAGACATGGATGCATACCATGATAAAATACTTCGTCTCTTTCATAAATGATTACTCACGATACATGTATCTCTACTCGTTCAGCAGCAAAAATGAAGCAGTAGATGCTTTTAGGGTATTTAAAGTTGAAGTAGAGAAACAATGCAGTAAACAAATTAAGATCGTGAGATTCGATAGAGGTGTAGAATACTATGGCAGACACAATGAGAGTGGACAAGTGATTAGTCCAACTGGTCCATTTGCTAGGTTTCTTCAAGAGAATGAGATTGTTGCCCAATATAGTTTGCCTGGTTCTCTGGACCAGAATGGAGTAGTTGAAAGGAGAAACCGAACATTATTGAACATCGTGCGAAGCATGCTTGCTAACTCCAAGCTTTCTCGCTCCTTGTGGATTGAAGCTCTTAAGATAGCTGCGTACATATTAAATCGAGTTCCAACCAAGGCTCTCCCAAAGACGCCTTTTGGGTTATTCAAAGGTTGGAAATCGAGTTTGCTATATGTACGCATTTGAGGATGTCCGTCTGAAGTAAGAGTCTACAATCCACAAGAAAAGAAGTTGGACCCAAGGACCATAAGTGGGTATTTAGTTGGATATGCCGAAAGGTCTAAGGGATACAAAATTTATTGTCCATCTTATAGCACTAGGTTTGTGAAATCAAGAAATACAAAATTTCTTGAGAATGACTTGATTAGTGGGAGCGATCAATCTTGGGGCATTTGTCATGAGGAAGATCATTCAGATGTTCAGTGTGCCACTTCAAGCAATGGATGATTAATGTTGTTAACAATACACCTTGAGTACAAACGCATAATGAAGGATCAATCCACGAGGTTCCACAAGCTATTGAGCCTAATCCAATAGATGATGAAGTTTAACAGATGCCTGAAGCTGTTAAACAGCCTGCTAAACAAAATGATCCTACTCCTCAGGAGAAAATTGATGCAGCATTAAGAAGATCTACTAGAGTAAGAAAATCGACGATTCCTAATGACTATGTTGTGTATCTACAAGAGTTTGACTACAAAGTTGAAGCTGAGAATGATCCTGAAACGTTTTCACAGGCCATAAGTTCTAAGGATTCAAACTTATGGTATAATACTATGAAAGATGAGATGGATTCGATGGCATCTAACAAAGTCTGGGATCTCGCCAAGTTGCCTGATGGTGTAAATGCCGTTGGATGTAAATGGGTCTTCAAAACAAAGAAAGACTCACTATGCAACATTGAGAGACATAAAACAAGATTCATTGCAAAAGGATTCACTTAAAGGGAAGAAATTGATTACACAAAGACATTGTCTCCTGTATCTAAGAAAGATTCCTTTCGAGTAATTATGACATTGGTTGCCCAATTTGATTTAGACTTGCACCAAATGGATGTAAAAACGGTGTTCCTTAATGGTGATCTAGAGGAAGAGGTTTACATGAAACAACTTGAAGGATTCTCCTCTAGTGGAGGTGAGCACCTGGTCTGTAAGCTTAATAAATCCATATATGGATTAAAACAAGCTTTTCGTCAATGGTATTTGAAATTCCATGACGTCATCACTTCGTTTGGTTTTAAAGAGAACGTCATGGGTCATTGTATACATATCAGAAGGTCAGTGGGAGCAATATTTGTTTCCTTGTTCTATATGTGGATGATATTTTACTTGCAACCAACGATAAGGGTTTACTACATGAGGTGAAACAATTCCTCTCAAAGAACTTTTATAAGAAGGATATGGGTGAGGCATCTTATGTCATTGGCATTATGATCCATAGGTAAAGATCTCGAGGCATTTTAGGTTTTTCTGAAGAGACCTATAATAACAAAGTGTAAGAAAGATTTCGGATGAAGGACTGTTCGCCAAGTGTAGCACCTATTGTGAAAGGTGACAGGTTTAGCCTAATTCAATGTCCCAAAAATGAGCTCAAGCAAGAACAAATGAAAAACATTCCATATGCTTCAGCCATTGGAAGCCTAATGTATGCTCAGGTCCGTATCAGACCTGACATTACATTTGCTGTTGGAATGCTAGGGAGATATCAGAGTAATCCAGGCGTGGACCACTTGCGAACTGCAAAGAAAGTGACGAGATACCTTCAAGGGACCAAAGATTACATGCTTATGTACTGACGAACTGACAATTTGGAAATGGTTGGCTACTCGGATACATGCTTTGTTGGCTATGTTTATTCACGAAAATCAACATCTGGTTACATTTTCATGTTTGCTTGTGGAGCTATATCTTGGAGGAGTGCGAAGCGGACCTTGATTGCTACTTCTACTATGGAGGCCGAGTTCATGTCTTGTTTTGAGGCTACCTCACATGGTGTATGGTTGAAGAGTTTCATGTCTGAGCTTAGAATAATTGATTCAGTTTCTAGGCCATTGAGATTGTACTATGACAACTTAGCTCTGTGTTTATGGCTAAGAACAACAAGAGTGGTAGTCAAAGTAAACACATCAACGTTAAATACTTATCCATTAGAGAACGTGTTAAGGAGATGAAAGTGGTCATTGAGCACATTAGCACTGAGTTGATGATTGCTAATCCTTTGATTAAAGGCAAGCCACCAAAGAATTTTAAAGATCATGTAGCGGAATGGGACTTGGTTCCATGATGTAATTTTATTGTACATACATTTGATGTTTTAATGAAAATCTTATTCAGTTCATGTTTTCTCATTCGTTTTGTACACATATTTGTATATTTATTTTCCTTGAGAAATATCATTAAGTTTGGACTTTGAATAAACATAGGGTTTATCCATATGTTATATGGGTTGGTGTTTAAGAGACATGATGCATTGTGATACATGGAAGATAATACTCGCTTTAGAGGACCTATCGTTATGATTTATGTATTATGTTTCTTATTATGATGAATGATGGTATACATGGACCAAGTGGGAGAGTGTCGGATTATAACTGACTTAAGAGTGGTTCACATATCCCATATCCCACTACTTCAGCAACTGACCCAATGTTTAAAAAAAAAACACGTTTGATAACCACTCATAATCTGAGGACGTGCAAGAAAACTGCTTTGTGATGGGTAGAGCATTTATAAGAGGTATTGAAATTCATTCGGAAGGTCCCTAAGCTCATTTTCATGTTCAATTTGCACACACCATCTAAGCAGTGAGAAAGAGGGCTTAGAAGAGCCTTAACCCAAATTAAACACCACCTACAAGCTTGAGTGAGTGCGTCAAGAACGACAATGGCGGGATGTACGTTTTCGATCCAATTTATTCCGCATTGATCTAAATGCTATTTTGTTGATTAAATAACGTTTAGATCGCTTAAAGAGAACTTACATTTCAATGACAAACGGGATTCAATAAAAAAATCCTAATCCATTCCAATCACGTATAGAATCGATTAGGGTAATGATCACATTTCTCCAATTGATCTTCAGTACATACTACCGAACCATTTTTATACACATATATATCACTTAGATTTAAAAAAAGGGGACGAAATAACTTTCTTCGATAACTCTTTCCGCACGATCACTGTGTGCTTTTTCAATGGGATTTTTTCGGGGTTCCCCTCAGCCTTCCTCTTGCGATTTCTTTGTGACGACTCTTCAATATTAATCACCCTTTTTTGCACCCTTCGATTTCGCCATTTTATGTCGCCAATATATTCTATCAATAACCAATGGATTATATAATGAAAATAACGATTTTGGTTGGCAATACAGAGACCAGTAGAAATTACAGGCCTAAAATGTAGTAAAAATGGCTGGAATGGAAATGAAGTAACCAGAGATAGTGGGTGCAGTAAAGGAAGAGAGAGAGAAAACGGTTTTGAAAATATTGTAAGTTTGAATTCAGATATTTAATAGAACACGCCATAATCAAAATAATTACTATTTTATTATTAATATTAATTATCAAATATTAAAATAATATTAATTAATAAAATGTGATACTTGAACTATGCTTAAAAAATCTTTCTAACTGAAGTTTGCATTGTATACTTCAAAGCATGCTCCCATTTAATTTCCACTATTAGGAAAATTAAAAGCAGCAAGTCCCAATTATGATTTGGGCTTCAAAATTTTGCCCTGTTACAAACCATAGTTTACCCGCTCGACCCAATATCAAATGTCATAACGGTCACTACAATTTCCCTCGCCATAGCATGTAAAACCGTAAACCCTAATAATCCACTTCTTCCTCTTCTCTCTGCTGTTCCCTGTACCTTACAGCAGCACGAGAGACACATAACCCACCCCACGACGCATTTAGATAAATAATCATCATGCCTTCAATTGTTGTATCGGAATCTCAATCCCCTGAAAGCAAGAAGAAAATGAAGAAGCAGCTGAATCCCGAAACTCCGGAGCTTGATGATTCTGTTGAGAAAAAGACCCAAAAAGAGAAAAAATCCAAAAAGACAAAACTGCCCTCAAACCTTGATTCAAATACTGTTAAGACAACAAAAAAAGATGAGAAGAAGAAGAAGAAGAAGCGGAATGCTACAGAGATTGACGAGACTGATAATGAGGAGGAGAGGAGCGACCCTAATTCGGAAATGGGCGATGCGATGAATTTGAATATGAAGAAAAAGATGAAAATCGGTAATGATGATGAGGAGAAGGTCGAAAATCTGAATGCACTGTCGAATTTTCGGATTTCAGAGCCGTTGAGGGAGGTATTGAAGGCTAAGGGAATTGAATCGCTGTTCCCGATTCAGGCCATGACTTTCGATACCATTCTTGACGGGGCTGATTTGATTGGAAGGGCACGCACTGGTCAGGTCAGGGTTTTTATTGAAATTTTAAACTGCAATTTGAGGTTTTTCAGCTTAATTTAGTGAATTTATCGTTAATGTAAAGTAGGCTTAAATTGGTTACCATTTTTGTTATGTTAAACAAGGGCACTGGTTAGAATTGGAGACAGGAAGCTGATTGTTTAATTTGCATTTTTATTCCTTCTAAATATGCTATTTCTATTGGTCCTGATGATAGAAGCCTGGGGGTTTGGATAAAAAATTAGCTCAGAATTGGCTCTCTTTGGTAACGTTGCAGTAACATACCTTTTTATCTGAGTAAGAGTTTCTGTGAAATTCTTTTACTTCTGATTCTAAATATTATAGGTTGCTCCATGGTTGCGCATACAGAAAATAGAAAACACTAAATATTTGAGTCTTTTATGGAGTTTATTTTTCACAAGTTCTTGCTGTGGCTATAATGGAGATGGTATAAATATAAAGGTTACTGAAATTGGGGGGAAATGGACGTCCTTCCTCTGTTGTCATCTCACTCAAATCATTGGATTATAATGTCAGAGTTTCATTATTTGTTTCTGGAATTGGAAGTTATATTTGAGCTACCTTTTTGATTAATTAGTGCAGTAATTCTTTTTGGAAAATCACTGTTGTCCTTTTGTTCAAGATGCAGAAACTTATTATTTTGACAATGTTAAAATGGTTGCACTTTTTGTTATGTTGCAATGAAAGCACCGTATTTTGTGTATTCAGATGTTTATAAAATCTGCAAGCTGTTCTGATTCTTGATATGATAACGGGTTCATCTGCCTTCAGTTCTCTAGAAAATGGAATAAAATTTAAAATTATAATCTACTGCAATCCTGTTTGTATGTTAGACCAATACTATTTATTGCAATATGTTTAGATGAACACTTTCCATTCAACTTAATGTAATGTTTTGTAAAATTTACTCTCTATTAACAGGGCAAAACTTTGGCCTTTGTGTTACCCATATTGGAGTCATTGACAAATGGACCCACAGTAGCTTCAAGAAAGAAAGGATATGGGAGAGCGCCTAGTGTTCTTGTACTTTTACCCACTAGGGAATTGGCCACTCAGGTAGTGTCTCTTGACCGAACAGTTTCACAAGATTTATATCCTAGTATTGAACTTTACTTCCTCCAAGTTATCATCTTCTTAATTAATGTTTTAGTATTGAACTTTATTTCCTCCAGGCTCCCAAGTTATCATCTTATTATTTTTTCATTTCCTTCTCTTTCTTTATATGATTATAGGTGTTTTCAGATTTTGAAGTCTATGGTGGAGCATTAGGGTTGAAATCGTGTTGTCTATATGGTGGGTCTCCATACCAGCCACAGCAGATCCAATTGAAAAGAGGTGTTGATATAGTAGTTGGAACTCCCGGACGCATTAAGGTACACTTTTTACTAATTAACCTTTCTGTACTGCTATGCGCATGATTCTGTCGTAGTCTGTATTTGAAGAGCAAAAATGCTGTTGGCTTTCTCAACATTGTACAGGATCACATAGAGAGGGGGAATATTGACTTAAGTTCACTGAAGTTCCGTGTCCTTGATGAAGCTGATGAGATGTTGAGGATGGGTTTTGTTGAAGACGTTGAACTGATTCTAGGTGTGTTTTACTATTCTTGATTATCATATCCTGCTTGTTTTGTGTACTCTAGATCCTGTTAGTAATCTATGTACTTAAAATATCAATTGTGTTTAGTGTGAACCCCCACGTGATGTAGAGGCATATATTCACCGGTCTGGACGAACGGGGAGAGCGGGTGAGTTGCTGAATTATTTTCAACTATTTCAGTTTTGAAGGTCATGAACTAACAAGAACTGTTTCAACGCTTCTCCCAGGGAAAACTGGTGTTGCTGTAATGCTTTATGATCCAAGGAAGTCAAATTTTTCTAGGATAGAAAGAGAATCTGGGGTGAAGTTTGAGCATATATCTGCTCCGCAACCAGCTGATATAGCTAAAGCTGCTGGTGCAGAAGCAGCAGAAAAAATCAACGAGATCTCTGACAGGTGAACTTTTGTATATTATTTACTTGTATATACTTAAAGGTGTTGTTGTGACTCCAGGTGCTTATATATTCTTAAAAATTATTAGTGTAATTCCGGTATTCATGGCTGCTGCTGAAGAGCTTCTAAGCACCTCTAATTTAGCGCCGAAAGAACTTCTAGCAAAAGCTCTCGCCAAGTCTGCAGTAGGTTCTTACTGATCATATATGTTTATGATGCCAAGCATCTTTTGATTTTAAGTTTGACACTAACAGTTATGCTGTTTTTCATGCAGGGTTATACTGAGATCAAGAGTCGATCCCTCCTCACTTCCATGGAGAACTACGTTACAGTTCTCCTTGGATGTGGAAGGCCCGTTTATACACCATCGCAAGTGCTTTAAACTATTTTATCCATCTACTGATATCTGTTTGTTGTGTTTGAACATTGCGAAAGGTCAAAGGTGCAGAAGGTGACAATGACCTTGCTGTTTGCTAATGTCTGTCTTGTGAGCCAAATATGAATCTTCATAGAATAGAATGTGGTGACATACATTCTTTTAAGGCCCATTTTCACACATCGCCAGAAAAGATGGAGGACGTTGTTTCTGTAATTAATAATCTGCATATTTCGTCTCTGTAACATGGCCTTCATATAAATGTTCAGTACTGCTGGGATTTTCATTGTAACAGTTTTAAATTCATGCGCGGTGTATGTTATCTCATTATTTTGCTTGATCAGAAAGAAGATTAATGTTATTTAACACCACTGGTGTTTAACACCAGTCTAGGTAGTAGCATTTGTCGCATTAAATTACAGTTTTAGTTAAGTGTAAGGATTATGACCTATTTAATAGAACCTATTATATGCTGATACCTAGACAGATGTTCAACACGATTGATACTGGATAACATTATTCCAGAAAGAGTGCATCTTATTACTTGTGGCTTAGGATATCAACTATAGGATTCTCACACGAGGAAATGAGGGAATGTAGTATGAGAGAGCTGAAAAAGTTGGTCACTTGAGCATAAGTAATTAGCTTTCTGTTTGTCTATGAAAATGTTCTATATCAACTTATCATATGCTAATACCTAGACTGGTGTTCAACACGACTGGTACTAGATATCATTGTTCTAGAAAGAGTGCATCTTACTACTTGTGGCTTAGGATATTAGCTGTAGGATTCTCACGAGAGGAAATGAGGGATTGTAGTATGAGAGAGCTGAAAAAGTTGGTCACTTCAGCATATCTAATTAGCTTTCTGTTTGTCTGTGAAAATGTTCTACATCATCCTGTTTTTTGAATAACGCCATCATATTTCAGGTTTGCTTACAACGTTCTGCGTAGATTTTTATCTGACGAAAAGGTAGAGTCCATTAAGGGTCTTGCTTTGACGGCTGACGGTAATGGTGCAGTGTTTGATGTGGCTGCCGGAGATCTGGACACCTTCCTTGCTGGTTAGTTCCTACCATTTGTTATACACTTTCTGTTCAACAAGGGTCAAGCTGTGATTGATTCCTGCTACATTTTTGGATTTGCAGGCCAGGAAAATGCCGCTGGTGTAAGCTTAGAAGTAGTGAAATCACTGCCACGCTTACAAGAAAGAGAGCAGGCACGGGGAGGAAGGTTTGGAGGTGGTGGGCGTGGTGGATTTTCTGATCGGAGAGATGGTAGGTTCTCTGGAGGAAGAGGAGGAAGAGGGGGATTTTCTGATAGAAGAAATGATAGATTTTCGAGAGGAAGAGGCCGTGGCAACAGCAATTGGTGAAGAACCCTGGTTACCCTTCACACACAAAACTTTAATGCCAAAACGGCATAGAAATTTTGGGACAATGAAATTCTTTTTGGTATTATGTTACATTACTATATTTTTTTTTAAAAAATATTTGGTTTTGTAAGTTTAATCTGAATTCTTCCCCGTCTTTTATTGTTTTCTTGATTTTGTATTTTTTTAAATTTAAACTTTGTGACTTCAATCATTTCCAATTTATTGTACCAAATGTATCGTAAATGAAATTGTTATGCAATTTTTCTTCTGTCTGGGATTTTTTTTTTTTTTTAAATCGGTATATAAAATTGTATTGATAAAAAGTCGAGTACTACTCCTGGCATATCCAAAACAAGCATATCAAAGGATCTAAAGATCCAAAGCAAGGGATTCGAAACTAAAACAAACGTTACAACCTTGGTTGATCAAGATCATGAGGCGCGGGATCCCTTTTCCTATTTTTCTTCGTTGATATGATTTGTTCCTCTCCAAGTTTCCCTTGGCATTCTTCACTGGGATCCTAGTCCAAGTTGGGGGTTTCAATTTCTGCACCCCTAGATCGAACCTTGCTGCAGTTCAGGTTGATTAAGATCATTTTGATCCCCGTTAACAGGCTGGGTTTCCTGTCCCTTCATTGTTTTGCTGCCTTCAGCAGGTTGTTCTTTGCTGCCTTCAACAGCTTGTTTCATTTGTTTGTTCTGTCTGGAAACAACCTTAACAGGCGTTTCAGGCTGTTTCTTTTGACTGATCAGTTCATTGCTGCAACTTTAGGGCACAATTCTGTCTATTTTTCTTGTCTCAATCCGTTCAGCAATAGGCTCACCAGCTTTATTTTTCATGTTGCATGCAGCTGTTTTGTGCCTGAATATTTTACAATTCAAGCAAAACTTAGGCTCATGCTCATACACTACTGGTTGTTCTCTTGACTTATTCGTTGGCAGCTTCATTGAGATGGTACGAACCAAATCCTTAGATGCATCGACTTCCACAAGAACCCGAGCATAAAACAGTCTGCCCCTAGTTGATGTGAGCTTGTCCGTAGAGTTTGGTTTTCTGATTTTGGAGGCAATATTTTCCAGAGCATTTGAATTCCAACAATCCAAAGGTAATCTTGGTAACTTTACCCAAATCGACATGGTGTTCACCTCCTTATCATTAAATTCAAAACATCAGGGCATTATCTTTAACATTAATGGCCTCCTGAACACTCAATAGGGACCCCCATGCAACACACTTGTTCTTGAAGCCTCATTCTCGAATTTGAAGATTAACCATCCGCTTTCATGAATGAAATAGTGATATTCACCCTTCCATGAATCACACATTTAAAGTAACGTCGTTTTATCTAGGAAACGACCGGCAAAGTAACCAAGAAGGCAATACCCCCATGATTCTTCGACATCATCCAGAAACGGTTGGAGTTTGAAACCTTCATCGAGTTTCCTGTTATCTTTAAACAAGTTCACCCAAGAAGCAGATTCTTGGTCCACCATTCTGCCTTCAATTTTATCATGTCCAGCAGACTGAGATTCGGTTACCGAGCCCTCTGAATTCGTGTCTTCATCACCAAGTGTTTGTCCCCTCACTTGCTCTTATCCAAAAAGCTTTAGCAGCCTCAAGCATCCATTTTAAAATCATTATCTTTCCAAAAAGCTTTAGCAGCATCTTGAGCATCCATTCGAGAAGCATTAGCATGAGATGATGAAGGTACTCCCTTCTTATCTTGCTGTTGAAACATCCCAGTTGAGGTAAGCCAGTCTTGACTGGTACGCCTGGAACCTTTGCTGGAACGACTGGATGATTTGAAATATAGCACTCGTAATTTTGTCTAAAAGCATTTCCAACGAACTTTTTAAATATGAGATACTTTTTATTTTAAAAAGTCTTATTAAAATCATGCTCAAAGAGATTCTTTTAATTAATATTTTAAATTTGAGAGTGAGTTTCACTCTCCAAATTTCTAGAACCAAATTCACTTTCTATAATTAAATGTATTTAAAATATTTCAATTTTCAATTAAGGGATATAATATAATAATTTATAGAAAAGTTAATTAAAATAAAATATAGAAAAAAATAATAATATTTTTTTTTTTGAAAAGTAATAAAATTAAGTATTAGATATAAAAAGTCTATTGGAGTACTTCAAAATTTATAGATGCTCTCTAAGTTATAATATACTATTTGAAAATAGAGAGTTTTTTAAAGATGTTCTAACTGACATACAGTATGTTTTGTTTTTGCTTAAGAATCATTCTATTTTGTTAGAGACTTGCTTTTTAGAAAGAGAAATTTTAATGCTAAAAAAAATAATATTGATAAATAAGTAATTGAAAACAGGAATGATTTACTAATAAGCAAAACCATCAATGATGCAAGAATCACAAATGAGTCTTGATTTTAAAAAATGGAAAATTAGGGTTGTTCCTTTTTATCTTTTAATAAGATACGATTATGAGTCATCAATCTTCAAAAGTGAAGTTCTATATAATCACTTATTTAAGTTTGCAAACTTTGATCTTCACATGATTGAAATTATTAATGTGAACGTTATAATAATAAAATTATTATGAGTACATTTTTCCAAAAATGAAGAAATGAAAAAACAATAACAATTGGTCAAATTCTAAAATTCAGGCTCCACCGGCGCCCTCACATGGCAAGAATACTTCCAGACACGTCTACACACTCCTCTATTGCATTCCTCACCCACCGATCACCGCAGTTCCATTCAAATTCTTTAGCCCACATCTGAAAATTTCCCTTTCTTTTTTCTCTGTATTCGAATAAATTTCTGTGAAAATTTTCATTTTCCTGTTTCTTTTTTCTCGAAGAAACTTTTTTGTTGATGTTATTATCTTCGTATTCGACTGCAGTTATTTTACCATATTATCGTGTTTTCGATTGATTAACATCATGGGATGGTACAGAAGACCATTTAGATTCATTTTTGATGCTTTTCGTAGCTACAACTCAAACATTACTGTGCATAGAAGCCTCATTCAAGAACCGAGTTTAAGAACTGGTTGCTACACTGATTCTTTGAAGCCCAGCTTCACTAAATCGAGAATTTCTGAATTTTCTCAACCAATTTTTAGGAATTCTGCTTTACAAAATGGGTTTAAATCAATCCAAAGTAATAGCCCCTTTCTTCACGGAGTGAAGAGGTTTTACTATGTGGACAGGTACCAGGTTTACCACTTCAAGCCAAGAGGTTTCAAAAGGTGGTTTCAGAATCCCAGAAACGTGATTATTGTGGTTTTGGTAGGCTCTGGGGTTGTTATTACTGTATACTATGGGAATTTGGAGACTGTTCCTTACACAAAAAGAACTCATTTTGTAGTTTTATCAAAAAGTCTGGAAAAAGAGCTGGGAGAGACTCAATTTAAGCAGATGAGACAAAGTTTTAAGGGGAAAATCCTGCCCCCACTTCACCCAGAGAGCATTAGGGTTCAAGCAATAGCGCATGACATAATTGAGGCTTTACAGAGAGGTTTGAGAAAAGAGAAGGTGTGGAGTGATGTAAGGTACTCACCAGAGAGTGTTGGGTTGCCTCACGAGACTAGTGGGCACGACATTTTGATGGGATTGGGTGACAAGGTTGCTGATGAGGAGAAGTGGTTAAAGGAGGAGAAATGGCACAAGGATGATGAAATTCTTGATGATCATTGGGTGCAGAAGAGTAGGAAGCATGGTCAAGAGAAAGGGATGAAATCCGAGAGCGGGCATTTGGAGGGTTTGAAGTGGGAGGTTATTGTGGTTAATGAGCCTATAGTTAATGCCTTTTGTATGCCTGGTGGTAAGATTGTTGTTTTTACCGGGCTGCTTAATCATTTTAGATCAGATTATGAAATTGCTACCATTCTCTCGCATGAGGTATTGGATGAATTTTTAAGGGATCATTTATGGTACAGTGTTATTGGAGTTGTGTTTTTAATTTTATTTCTTTACTTGATAGGTTGCTCATGCTGTGGCTAGGCACTCGGCTGAACAAATTTCAAAGAACCTATGGTTGGCCATTTTACAGTTAATTCTGTACCAGTTTGTGATGCCCGATATAGTCAACACAATGTCAAATCTCTTCCTAAGGCTTCCTTTTTCTCGGAGGTATACTTCGCATATATGTTCTGTATCATCTTAGTTTTCCATATTTCTATTGTGTCAATATGGGCTATAATCTAATTTGAAGGGCGAAATGAAAAATACTCTTAATAGACTATGGAACCTCTCTCCCTAATATCCAAATCCCACCCCCAACCCCAACCCCAACCCCATACCCATCAAACCACCACCCATTCACCACCGACCCTGGACGATGCCGGCGACGAAAATATCGCTCTGCCCAGCAAACCCCTGGAGACCGGCCTCATGCCAATAATACAGCCGCACAATTAGGCGGCGGCTACCCTAGCACCGCTGCTCAAACAGTTATTCGGACCAGCGGCAAGACTATCTGGGATGGTATGGGGGCTATGGGAGACGGCGAAACTGGTGGAAGAAACACTATTGAGGACAGTGAAGTGAATCGGACTGTAGCCCTAACTCAGATTCGGCCGATTCCAGCCACTTCCCAGGCAAACGCGCTTGATTGTTGGGCTGTGCAGGCGATTCCGGTCAGGGAGGCAGCATACGCAGAAGGTTCAATTGATGGTTAGGTGAATACCGCCGAAATAAGGGCTCGTGTCATTGAAAGGGGAGTTGGATGAACTACTTCGGCTCTCGTAGGATGTGGATTTGTAGTGGGTCCCAAGATGCTTTGTCACAAGTGTGGGATGGCCGTGGATAAAGAACTCTTGACACCTAAAAAGCCATCAGCAAAAGCAGGCCTTACTAAAGATATGGAGGATAAGAACTTGAGAACTGAAGCAAATGAGGAGGCGAGACCTTGGTCTAATGGAGGGAAGCTGAAGATGGTGAATTTGGAGTCGGGGACACTTGGAATGATGGACACAACATTGCTGGCTGATGGACCATTACCAGTTGAGCAAGAGACGGGACATGTTTTGGTAGAGGGATTAGTCTTTACAGTACTGAAAGAGCACAAGGCTATAGGTTCGAGATCCATGGCAGGGAGCACATATAACAGAAGGCATTTTAAGCCCTTAAAAGAAAAGGAAATAGAGACCGACAAAGCTCTGGTGCTGTGGGTGGATGATGCTAAGCAAGGAGGCACAGATACGGATATTGAGCTAGTGGAGGAAGTAGAGGGATATTCATGTGATCCCTTGGAGTTTCATCTAGCACAGGAAACAACGAAAGCGAATGCAATCGACGATGAACCCCCACCTTCGAATTGGGTCCTTCAAAAAATTCAGGATTTTAGTAAGATGGTTTGTGTGTCATGCGATGGATATGAAAGTAGACTTCTGCAATTATTTGAAGAATTGGAAGGCAGTAGGGGACAGGGGATGAATATACAAAGGGCTAAATGAAGAAGAAAGGGAGATCGTGAGCTTAAGCGGCTCGAGTGGTCAGTAAATTACGATGCCAAGGGTGTTGAGTCAAAGAAAGGATTGCTTGAGAGGGATGACAGAGCGTCTAGATGATCCCAAAAATAATCAGTTGGAACGTGAGGGGGTTTAATGAAGCGGGAAAAATGTTAGGTATCCGAAATTTGTTAAGGGGATGGAGGGCAGACCTTGTTTGCTTACAAGAAAGGAAGTTGGAGTTCATCTCGAGGGCGGTTGTTAGGAGTTTATGGGAGGGACAACATGTCGGGTATCAATATATGGGGTCATCAGGGGCTTCTGAAGGTGTGTTAGTCATATGAGACACTCTAGTTCTTGAAATGGAGGAGGTCAGTGAAGGACTATTCTCTTTATCGCTTTCGTTTAGAAATACAGGGGATTGATTCCGTTTGATGTTTACAGGAGTTTACGGTCCTAATATTGATGAGAGTAGAAGTGGATTGTGGGATGAGTTGGCCGGGATGATGGCTTGGTGGAACATTCTAACGTGCATTGGGGGTGATTTTAATGTGGTTCGATTTCCTACAGAGAGGTCTAGCTGCGGGAGATTAACAGGGACAATGGAGGATTTCTCAGATTTTATAAGGGAAAATATGTTGATTGACATGCCTTTGATTGGAGGAGACTTCACATGGTCATCTAATCGGGATCAACCTGTGTTATCTCGAATAGATCGCTTCTTGATTAGTGGGGAGTGGGAGGTCAAATATCCAAAGGTCACTCAGAGGAGATTGGGGAGGATGTATTCTGATCATTTCCCTATTTTGTTATTGGGGGATGTGAGGTGCAGTGGAAGGAGGCATTTTAGATTTGAGAAGATGTGGCTTAAAGTAGATGGCTTTAGGGATTGAGTTAGGGATTGGTGGACATCTTATAAATTCGTTGGGTCTCCCAGTTATGTGTTGGATTAAAAATTAAAAGCATTGAAGAGGTATCTCAAGAGGTGGAATGAGGAGGTGGTGGGTGATGTTAATTGGTGTAAAAATCAAAGTACCCTAGAAATTGAAGAATTGGATAGGTGCGAGGAGGGTCTAGGATTGGATGGGGAGGATAGGGAAAGACGTGGAGTACTAAGGGGAGAGTTGGAGAGATTGGTGGAGATGGAGGAGATTGCCTGGCGCTAGAAATCTAGGGTTACATGGTTGAAAGAGGGGGACAAATGCACCAAATTCTTCCATAAAGTCGCTAATTCTAACAGGCGCAACAACTCTATCACCCTATTGGAGGTTGATGGGATTACTTATGAGGATGCGCCGGATATTGGGAATCAGATGGTGAGATTCTATCAAAATATCTATCGGGAAGAGTTCAACTGGAGACCAAAGGTGGATGGATTGTACTTTTCATCTATCACGGAGGAGGATGCCAGTTGGTTAGAGTGACCATTGGCAGAAGATGAAATCGAGGATGTGGTTTTCAGTATGAATGCAGATAAGGCACCAGGACTGGATGGCTTCTCGTTTGCATTTTATAAGGCTTGTTGAGAGGTGGTGGGACCGGACATTATAGATGTTATCATTTATTTTTTTGAGTACGACAGGTTCCTGAGAAGTTCTAATGCCACATTTATTGCGCTGATTCCAAAGAAACTGGGAGCAGTTGAATTAAGGATTTTTGCCCTATTAGCTTAGTTAGTGGGTTGTACAAGATTATCGTGAAAATCTTGGCGAATAGATTGAAGGAGGTGCTGGGAAAAGTGGTGACTAAGAGTCAGAATGCTTTTGTGAAAGGAAGATAGATTTTGGATTCTGTGTTTATAGCGAATGAATGCGTTGACTCCCGATTGTGTCTGGGGGTGCCAGGAATGTCATGTAAACTTGATATTCAGAAGGCTTATGATCACGTGAAATGGGGGTTCCTTCTGTACATGCTCGAGCGATGTGGTTTTGGGGAAAAGTAGTGCAAGTGGATTCAATGTTGTATCTCCACCGTTTCATTCTCCGTTTTGGTCAATGGCAACCCGGAGGGTCATTTTCGAAGTAGTAGAAGTTTGAAGCAAGGGGATCCTCTGTCTCCGTTGCTGTTTGTGATTATTATGAAGGCAATTAGTAAGATGATTGATAGAGCTATGGAAGAAGGACTGCTAAGGGGCTTTACGGTTGGACACTTATAGGTTTCTCATTTGCTATTTGCAGATGATACATTGATTCTCTGCGATGCAGATAATGAGCAGTTCAGGAACTTACGTCGGCTACTTCTATGTTTTAAAGCGGTGTCGGGATTGAAGATTAATTGAAGGAAATCCGAGGTCATTCCAGTGGGAGAGGTTGCTATGGATGAGTTAGCTGATATATTGGGTTGTAGGGTTGCGCGGTTTCCTATGTCATACCTTGGGCTTCCTTTAGGGGCAAGGTTTAAAAGTAAACATATCTGAAATGGAGTTGTTGAAAGGGTGGAGGTGGAAGCGCTGTACCTTTCGAAGGGAGGTTGCCTTACTCTCATTAAATCTACTCTACCCAATCTCCCGACTTATTTCTTGTCACTGTTTCCTATCCCTGGTACAGTGGCAAATAGATTAGAGAGGATTCAAAGGGAGTTTCTTTGGGCAGGGCTAGGGGAAGAGAGGAAATTTCATTTGGTTAATTGGGGTGTGGTTTGTTCTCCTGTTAGGATGAGGGGCTTTGGAGTGAGGAGCCTTATTCTATTTAATAAAGCTTTATTGGGCAAGTGGTTGTGGCAATTTGGAGTGGAGAGGGAAAGTCTTTGGAGACAAATTATAGGAGCGAAGTTTGGTGTGATGGAGGGGGTTGGTGCTTGATCGAGGGTCGTGAATCTTATGGGGTGAGTTTGTGGAAGTATATCCGACGAGAATGGAATGACTTTCGAGAGAAATTGACTTATGTGACGGGGAATGATAATAGTATCAAATTTTGGGATGATTGTTGGTGTGGAGATCATCCACTAAAGGCACCGTTTCCTTCTTTACATCGCATTGCCTTGGAGCCTACCGCTATGGTGAATAATGTCCTAGCCATACATATTGGAAATTATAGATGAGATATTGCCTTCGAGAGGGGTTTGTAGGATTGGGAACTGGATGATTATGCACTGTTTTTGACCTCCTTGCACGAGGTGCATATTCAAGTGGGAGAGGATGATAGGAGCAGATGAAAGCTAGCATGGGATGGTATTTTCTTAGTTTGCACTTATTTTAGATCCATATTGGGATCGACGAAGAGTTCATTTCCTTGGAAGATGGTGTGGCAATGTAAACTGCCTCCACGGGTGGCTTTCTTGTTATGGACGGTTGTGAGGGGGCAGATATTAACGGTGGATGATCTTTGTAGAAAAGGTTTTTACATTACCGAATGGTGTTATATGTGCAAGAGAGACGGAGAAATGAATGACCATTTGTTCCTCCATTGTGAAGGTGTCCAGTGGTTGTGGAACATTATTCTAGCTTCCCAACATATGGATTGCGTGATGCCTAGGCGTATGGAGGATGTGTTGCACGCATGGAGGAGAAAATTTCGAGATAAAGATGGTAGGCTTGTGTGGAACCTTATTTCGGGATGCATTGTATGGTATGTATGGAGAGAAAGGAACAGCCTTTGTTTCGAATACCAAGCAAGAGCAATAGAGCAAATTAGAGAATTGTTATATATGACTTCGTATATTTGGTTTAAGGCTGCAGCCACAAATTATGTAGAAGGGCTACCAAACTTTATGTCATTTCTTTCCTGTTTAAATTAATAATACACCCCCATGTATTATCTATTAATAAAATTACTTGATTACTTATAAAAAAAAAGAAGAAGGGCGAAATAGAATTTATTTATGTTCTTCTCAATGCCTTACTCCTATGTTTTGTTTCATGTTCTATGTTCGGCTTATCCATCAAGTGTATGTTTGGTATGCCCGTATTTGACGGAACTAGACACTATAATGTGCAAGATTTTAATTTATTTTATACTGTCTCGAGTTATACAATTTACCATGTCAAACATTTGGTGTCAGCAACGACTGCATTTGGCAAATGATGGTTATTTAAGGGGAGTATGTATGCGTAATAGACATTGATACGAGAAGTACGATTGTTTCACATTCTAGTAGGAATATGTAAGTGACCCGTATTTTCAAATTTGACGTATATGCTTTACTTTGGGTATTATTGCTCCATAATTTAACAGTCTTTTAGTTTACAGGACAGGATGTATGATCTCTATTCAGTTCAGAATTCTCTATTATTTACCAGAATAAGTGTCATCCTGTTCGTTATGCAGCAAAAACATTATTTTTAGCTGTCTGCCTGTTCTCCTTACATTTCCACTCTAGGATACAAAATATTCAAGAAAATGATTCATGCATTTGAGAGGTATAGAATTCATAATGATTACAGCTTATATAGATGTTTGCAGATTTCTTTGTTCTTCTGTTTCCTTCAAAATATACATATTTTCCATGAACCTTAGATTTACTCGTCTGACTTAAGGTCCTTGTTGATCAGAAAAAAAGCTAATCCCATATCACCAGAAAGTTGTGGATTAACTGTGTCTGGTCGTTGGATTAGTGGAGTCTAATTGTATGTTACACTATTCTCTGACCAAGGGAATATTTTCAAGTATTATATGGGTACTTTGAGAAGTTCACACATAAAATAGGTTGTCCTAATGTTTCTTCCTATATATGCTGAGTTGAGAGAACATAGCAGAGAGGTCTGAGTTCACATAACATATTGTAATCCTTTTGCTTCAACTTTGTGAAACTATGCAGCTGCAAGTGAACATAGCTCTTGAATTGGCGGTGAACCACTATAATTTTTGAGTTCTTTACTTGCTTTCAATTTTTTCTCTGTTGTTTTATTGCCCTTGATAGCACAGGATTAGTGATTAATCCATATCACATGTTCTTTGTTAGCAACGGAAAATTATTATTTTTTAAATTTATGTATTGTGTCGAATTCAGATTGTTTATTGCATGGAATTTCGTTGAAATGTGCATATTACTCCACACCTTATGTATGAAGAGTTCGAACTTGGAAATTGTGCCTTTCGAAATACTAAAATGAAGTTTAGCTGGCTCGCTTTCTTGCAATTGCCAATCTTGCTAGGTTGCTCTGACCATTTCCACCTTTAAGTTGAGGTCCATTTAGTATTGATGCATGACTTTGTTATGGTTCCAGGAGTGTTAGTTTTTAGCTGATTATCACAAAGAATACGAGGTTTAAATTATTTTTCAATTTCAAATTCAAATTTAGTAAGAATCCATCACAAATGGTGCCAAAGGGTTCATCCGTAAATTTTTTTAGTAGTAAGAAACTAACCACCAGAACATCACATATTATAACGCATTGGAACCAGAAATTTAGCATTCAAGAACACATGCAACGCTTATTTGTGCCTTCAGATTCTATAAAACTTTGTTTTCCCTGCTTTTCGCGTCAAATTTGGAGCGTAAATACTGTACAGTAACTTTGGTTTTGATGAGCAAATAATTCCTTGATGGTTTAATGTTTTACCTTTTCATGAATTGCGTTGCATTTGGTTTCACTTAAGAAAATAACCCATTCCCTACCAGGATGGAGATGGAAGCAGATCACATTGGACTTATGCTCATGGCTTCTGCTGGGTATGATCCTCGATCAGCGCCCCAAGTCTACGAGAAGTTGGGAAGAATCTCGGGTGATTCAGCATTGAGGGATTATCTTTCCACTCATCCTTCTGGAAAGAAGAGAGCTCAATTGTTGGCTCAGGCCAAAGTCATGGAAGAGGCACTCGAGTTATACAGGGAGATACAGGTGGGACGAGGGATTGAGGGTTTTCTTTAGAGGAATGAGCTATGCAACTTGGAAGCATCTCTGCACCATCAAAGCTCAAGTAATTGATGGTAATTAAAGAAAACAATATCTGTTGATGGGTTGGGTGTGTGGGGAAGGTGTTCTTTAATATTCCTTTTTCTGATATCATCTACATTAATCTTTTTTTCCTTCTGTGTGTGCTTAACATGAAAGCAACATCGACTTTTTATCAAGTTAAAGCTCTTTTGGAGATGATCTCTGTGCTATGTGAATTCAAATAAAAATAAAATATTTCTTTTTGCATTCCCTGTTTGATCATGACTGAAAGCAAAAGAATCCCCTGTTATATCACTATTTACTTTGCCTAAATTTTGAGCAATCATGCTACAATGTTACATATTCAGTTTACAACCATCTTCGATGCTTACAATGTTACAAGTATAACAATCCTCTATTGAGACATTTGATCCTATAACACAACCTTCGCCAGTAACTGAATTTGATACTTCAGTATCAATTCAATTGAAAGTATTAGGACTGATTTGTGCAGAACGTGACAATCCAACCTCTGAAAAACCCAGAGAAAGAACAGCAGCCCAATAGTGAGTTGAACAGGTTCAAAAGATAAGTGCTCCAACCACGAGTCATTACAAGGATTAGTTTCTTCATTTAAATGCTTGGCGTCTTCCCTTAAACATAAACACTACTTAAGGTTCCAGGATACGATGCAATTACTACACAACCCATAAATCTATTGTCGCTCAATAAACCTGGTCACAGTAATTCCTTAAAAAGCTACTGCAAGTTCACTAATGTTTTAACACAGCTTAGATTTTCTTCACCTGATGCCCCATAAGTTCCCCGTCTTTCAAGCTTGGTTACATGGTTTCCAAAAACAGGACATCAACACCAAAGGGTAAGTCCACCACTGAATTATTTCCTTACTGATGGTGTCATAGTGGCGATAGTTTTCAATCCTAGCCGCATAACTTGAAGGAATTTCATGCACGAAAACTTTATACCCATAATACGAAAGCAAAAATGAGCAGATATAGAAGATCAGTGTTGTTATGAGAGTCTTATCTGTGTGCGGGTTGAGGGAGAGAAAAATGCCAGATTATCAGAATATGATAGAACAAAGGCTGGGCAAAGAGGAAATGCATTACATGCCCAGAAAATTGCTCGTTTTTTATTTTACCTAAGAAAGCTGGTTATATAGTTCTATCAATAAAAAGGCAATGGGTGCTTTGTGTTTCTATTAATGACTATTTGAACTTGCTGCGGTAAAAAAATTCCAGTAGTTCAGATGTGTGATAATCTTGAAATATTCTATGACTATGGTTACCCAGCTTAGGCCCTCCATTGTTCATATCAGACAAGATATGAATATCAACACGGTGAAGCCCAGAATTTCCCAGCCACGTATGTTGCCACAGGTAGAACTCGAGCCAAACCGAGGACCTTTTGAAGTTGCCAAAAGAGTTGGGAAAAGGATCATAGGAAGCCACTGGCTCGACCCTGGAATAAAGAACATTTGAAGCGGTATAACAAGTGAAAAAGACACGCCTAGATTGTCACTACAACCCCTAGTTTTATTATTATACATTTTCTTTCTTTCCAATCTTTCCTTGTTTGATATCGTGCTAAGGAAGGTTCAGTCTAGCTGTGATGTCCATTGCACAAATGATAAGTGTGCGAAGGAAGGTTCAGTCTGGCTGTGACGTCCATTGCACCTACTGAGATCGAAAACCAGCAACTTTTATGCCCCAATATGGTTGTTTTACTTTTATAACATGCAAGTAAAGTACGAAAATATTTAAAAGAATTACAAAGGCAAGAGCTTTAATCAATTGTTCAATTGGGGGCATAAATCGTTCAATTGAGTAGGTAGACCCTAAATATCAACAAAGAAGCGAGGAGCCTTAATCAACAGTTCGGTGAGGGGGCAGAAATTGCTCAATCGAGCAGGTAGACCCTAAAGATCGACAAGAAGTAATGGACCTTAATGAAAGCAAGGCGAGAAGTCTTCTCACAAGCCTTAGACAAAAGAAGGCAACGAGCATTGTCACAAAAATGAGGCAAAAATTCTGATCAATTCAAATGCAAAAAATCTTAAGCTATAGTTCAGCCAAATTAACCACAATACCTTAATTTAATAATCTAGATAAGTGTACAAAATACACTTAAAACACCTTCAAACTTGAACATTTATTTGTTCTCAAACAAAACTATAAACTTAAACAAATTTTCAAAATAAACATGGCTAGGTAATCTGCATTTGGTCTCATGATCGGGATTTTTGTATCAAAACTATGAACTGCTTTAAAATCACATTGCTAAAATTAATATCTAGTTATCTAATACAAAATTGATGTGCGCATGTGTGAAGATTCATATAAAGCATCATAATTTGATAAAATGATTCAAATCCCAACCCATAATGCTCAATTTGATCCTTTCTTCTCTCATAGATGCACGTATCCAAATTTATTCTTTTAATTCTTTCCCTCTCTAGTTTGATTAGATTTTACTAATTACAACTCGATACATCAACGAATGAGGATTATCTTTATTTTTTGCTACTTCAACCTACAAGAATCAACTAAGCTTCCAATCCTTCGTCGAATGTCCAATTCTCTAAAATAAGTGTTTTAGACTTAACCTAGGCATGTAGTACGTTAAAATTATTTTTTTCCACCATCTTATGTACGAACTTCTTTCCATTTAACTTTCTAAATGAACCTTATAGCAAGGTTAATGACTTCGAAGTCAGATGACTATAGGGAATTAAGTTTTAGATACCCTTGTAAGGTTAATTATTTGAGTCATAAAGGCTAAAAGAGATGTTTCACAATGAGGCATTCTTTTTATTATTATTATTATTATTAGTACAATATTCCTCATTAAACACTCATTCTAAAAAATTGACTCATAACTTAATATTTTCTTCTAATTTTCATCTTATTAACCTTAGACAATCCCCATAATATTTAGCACATATGGAATAACGTTTATCCCAATATCTCCCTAAAACAACTCAATCACCCCTAAATCATCATAGAATTGGTTTAAGGTTCTATAATTTAGTAGTTCTTTGGTTTCAGCATCCAAGGTGCACTATTTTCAACATATTCAAATTTTAAATCAAATTAGTCATTTACGATGCAAAATATAAATCTTGTGTGCAAAATATCAATTTTCACATGAATAAGTATAAATTAACCTAACATACAACTTTCTCACAATTTATAGTCTAGTACATGGTTCCAAATATATGTATTATAGTATAAAACTTTATTTAACCCACACAAGCACACAAAAGCAAAACAACACTAAAAATAAATTATTTTTATGATTTATTTTATTTTATTTTTATTTTTTTGGTGCTTGTGAACAAGAACACAAAATAGATAATATACTCGATATTTTCCACTCCCAAAAGTATAACTGTCATTAGACAACAAATATACTCCTTCCGTCCCAATTTTATAAGTTTGTTTCATTTTTCACACAGATTAAGAAATTTTCTTTAATGTCATTGAAAAATTAATTTTTTTTAAGATCTGTCCTAATTTACCCCTATTTAATTTTCAGTATGTAGTAGTAAATTATTGTCGAAATTAGTAAAGAATTTCAATGATTTAATTTGAAGAAGAAGAAATTAGAGTTGTTCCATGTTTCCAAGAAGTGGAAATTCGTGTATTTGGATGATTTCATGAAATTGCATATTAAGTGGGGAAAATTGTATAAGGGTATATTAGTAAAGGAATAAAACAAAATATTCTAAATTAGAAAACAAGCCTTAGGATGTGATAGAATTTAGCCCGTGTGGCTATTAAAATGAGATTTTCTTAGGATATTTGATAAAAGTTGATAAAATGTGTGATTGGAAATTTGTTGATCCCATTAAATATAATTAAAATTAATTGTTAACTTTGACTTAAAATTAAAATTTTAAATTTTACCCCCTACTAAACAAGAGCTTAGTAGCCTCCCATGTCTCTTTGTCATGGCTACCCATGTCTTTGGATAGACTAATTATATTACCACTACAAATTTTAATTATTACACCACATTATAATTAAATCACAATTAAAGTATATTTTTAATAAATACACCACAATAAATTTACAATTATATTAATAATTCAATAAAATTAAAAAAATTGAAAAAGAACATAATATAATATTGTGGTGTACTTATCACCAATATTAATCCTCATTTTCTCAACCTTTCCCTTCATTTATTTCACAGTAATTAAAACTAGAAGATTGGTGAAGAACACCATCCCATAATAAATTGAATGTTTGTTACAAATAATTAATATGTCTGAAATGATCATTTAAAGCTGTCAGTAATTTGTTTGTGTTACCATTTTAATTCAAAATATGAATTTTTAATGTATTCACAATTTCATTTTTTAATCTTGGAAGTCTATTTTAGAAAACTTTTAAGTGGAAATTAAGAGAGTTTATCTACAACAACCTTATGAAAAAAATAAATTTATTAAAATCCTGTAAAAAATGCAATATAACAATAAAAACTTCTTTGTTGATTAAGAACAACTTTCAAAAATTCATATACTTCATGGACAAAAATTCACAAAAATTGACGCACCTACATATACACAAATTCATTTACGGTCTATCTATATACATGCAATTCGTGGTAATTAGTGGTGCAGCCTGTGTATAGCACATATGATGAATGCATGCAATTCATGAAATTATGGTGAGTATATATACGCGCAAATTCATAAATTCATTTAATAATTAAAAATCATAATCTTACATATTTGTTTTAAAATCATAACAAATTTGTTTAACTCAACAAAAAAAATCAGATTCTTAATTTTCAAACTTGAAAAATAAATTGAAAATATAAATTAATTTACCGCGAGGGAAAATATTATTTTGTCGTCGTGGAAAAAGGCAAAAGCTGTTGGAAAAACTATGAACAATGAGATGTTGAAAGAGAAAGAAAGAAATTAGGCTTTATATTTATGGTGTAACAATAGTTTATTTAATTAAAAAGTACATTAAAATTTTAATTATGTAATTTTATTTAAGGATATTTTAGTAAATAAAAAAATTGTGGTGCACTTAGAATATAATTACCCCCTTTGGATATTCATCATCATCTGGTCTCGAACTTCTTCTACCACTATTATCAAATATTCAAATATATGGGTTAATTATGTTAAGAAAAAAGCCTTCGCGCCAGAAAAAGGATGACAGAGGCTTTGACCGTCTCTCACAAGCATCGGGCCCCACATGAACAAACAATTGGAAGAAAAAAGTGGCTCCACCTCTTATTGTGATGGTCGGTCAGGGCTTTGGTCAGTTTTTTCTAGTAGTGTAGCTTGATTGTTATATTAATAGTAACTAAAGTTTTAAGTAATAATTATTCAAGTTTCTAGTAGTCACGCTAATTGTCATTCGGACAAAATCATCAGCTCTTGACGTATCTTGGCTGCTACTCTTTCAGCTGAAGGAGCTTGAGGCATGCTTTTCTTGATTCTCAATGGATTCTTTCTATCAATTTTCTTTCGAAATCTCAATTTGTACACGTAACAACACATTCTCCTTCGTTAACATTTTCAAGCTTCCTGCCATTTCTTGAATTATCTTCGCATTGGATATCTACTTTCTTACGCAATGTTGCTGAGCGAGGGAAATGTCGAGACGTGATTTTGTCGGTGTTTCTTCTCGCTACTATTTAGGATTAGCATCGCTATCTATAGGATTTTCACTGCTATATACCCTTCAACTTCAACTTCTAGTGATAGCTTTCCTACTACTTCATTCATTTTTTTATTTTATTATTATTATTATTATTATTATTATTTTTTTTTTTTTTTTTTGTGGACCTAACAAATCTCCTAGTTGTAATAGAGTTTCATGGTATACTTTGTTTAGGATTTCTCATAAACGGTACCAATTTGTTGATAGTAAAAACTGGATCAACAAATCCTCTCACCTAATTATGATTTTCACCTTCTAAATTCTCTGATTTTGAAGCTCAAATAGGAGCAAGGGGGAAAATGACTATTTGAGAGGGACTGTTTGAATTGCATGATTTTCTGTTTGAAGAAAGGGATTATTGATTCAGAAATTTAAGAATGCATTATAAGTAAAACTTTCTTAACTAACTAATCAGTTTTCTTTATCTCAATGCTTTAGTATAAGACAGTTATTTGATTTAGAAAATAAAATTAGGAGACTTGCTACACGTAGAGTTACTTTGACAACAACAATGACAGTCCTCTAACATTAAGGGTGGAGCATTTTAATTGCAGGACCAACGTCCTGTGAGCGTCCTGCTGTAAATATGTACAGGAAAACTGGTCAACATTGTGAAAACTGGAAAATAAAATTAGTCATCCATCACCATATCTAAATGTATAAATATTTTGTCTTCTGCAGCCACTAGACTTCTTAAGATTGAATTCCAAGACCCAAATTCATGCACTGTGTCAACTTGCAATGATCTAAACGGTTAATACTGAAACACATTTCTTTTCAACACCTGAATATATCTATATATACTTGCTACATTCCTGAAATATAAAGACTAAATTCATTCAACTTGTATCACATTTTTTAGAAACTAAAACACATATCTGGCTAATTTTATCAAACTCAGTCACAAGTTCTTTTTAGTAATCATTAGTGTCCCGGAATTTATCATCATTTTTTCCTTGACTGCCTAACTATTGAGGCAGCAACCCGACGTGTCAAGGACCGCAGCTTTACTTAGCCCCTTGACACTATCGCAGCCGCAGTTTGCCCAACTTCGGCCGCACATTGTAAATATTACTTCAAGTTTGAGTTGTAATTTTCGTTTCATTGTAATAGTTATTTTAATTGTAAAATAGCTCTGATATTGGTAAAAGATTAGTATGATTCCTCGTCTTTTAAACGTCTACTCCCGTCACTTGGGTTTTTGTTCAGAATGCTATTATAGGGGGTATTAGTCATTCAAAAATCTTTCAAGCTCACTGGTGTCCGCCCCCTGCACCAGCATTTGTAATTTTCTGCTTTCATCAATTGTAATGTTCAGTTTTCAGCAATCAATGTTCAATTTACTTTCAATGTATTCAAATTCTCAATTGTAAGCTTTCTACAAAATTGCAATCAAATTTTCTTTCGTCCCGACGCGACCGAGAAAAGGCGGAAGGTAGTCTAGCGGAGCAGACTACTGCCGCACATGTGCCTTTGCCGTTTTCTCGGTCAATGTCCTCACAGTATCCCTGAGCAAAGTATGTGTAGCATATGTCAGAAGGTGTTGCGTTCAATTTATTTAACATGTTTGGAGGAGACTTATTTTATTTGCCCTTTAGGTAAGTCATAGAGATACTTGTAGTAAATTTAAGGTTTTGAAAACCTTAGGTTTGCTGCTTAGTACGATCCTCTAGGAGATGATGTTGAACTTTCAGTTACAAATATTTTCATTCTTGTACTGATCTCAAAGTATAAAAGGAAAAGGAAATTGAAATGATTGCATGGATGGAGATACAAAACTGTCTTTTCCTGTGAGATTAATGCTAAGAAAGGAAAGGTTTTTTATCGTACCATTCACTCTGCGAATGCAACTTCAATTTTTAATCAGAAGTTCCACTTATTTGTCTGTGGATAAGCTACTTATGTTCTGTATCTTAGCGTGTAATGATTTCAACTTACAGTGGACCCTGTGTATCATATAGGCTGCGCAAACGAGCTATTCACAACGACATGTCCAGGTAATTGAAGTTTTCTCTTCTCGTTAAGCTTTCAATACACATCTCTAGGTTTTATAAACATTTCTGGTGCTCGCCACAGGTATGTCTGCTGTGCTGGTTATATGTCCTGCAGTGGACGGTGTGGAGAAAGCCGGTGCCCCAAATTTTGCCTTGCCACAGAGGTAAATAAGATGTTGATTTTGATGGTGACCGTTCTTTTTGGAGTCATTGTTTTTCTTGTACTACTACTGAGTTATATTGATATTATTATTTTTTAAACTAATGCTGCTTGATTTCAAGAGAAGCTTTTTTGTGAAATGGTAAATGTTGAATTCATTAAAGCATGGAATAAATTGTCAAAAAAACTTGCGTTGGACAGTTCATATTAATTTGGCCTCTGTTTGTGGTCCTTTCTTTTTCTTTTTTTTTTCTCTGTAGAATATTTATATCATATGATTTAGGGAAAGTGTGAAGATATATGCAGTTAGAAATTTATTATCTTTCGACCTTGTGTAGAAGTAACTTATTAAAATGTATTGTTTCATTAATGTCAGCAGGAAGTTTTCTGTAATTGGAAGTAAATTCTAATGATTGTCACTTCATAAATCAAATGTAGGCTATAATTGTTTGTTCCTTTCAGAGTGTTGACTAGTCTTTTTGCTATAGCAGCATAATGTGTTGCAGTTGCTGGTTCATGCAATTTATTTTTTTTTTAACATAATTTTGAACTCCACACAGTATTCTTTGAGTCAAAAAGTACATAATGCTTTGAGGGTGGAACGAGGTTATATGGCATGATATGAAGTATTGATCACAATATCAAGAACGCAAGAATTTAATTTGGTAGAAGAATTGGAGATTTTATTTAACTATAACAGAGAGAGAAATTATAATAATATAGTGTTCCTACACAATTCTAACTTGCAATGATGAAATAACTTGTAAAGAAGAGTCTACTTATTATAAGGGTACATGTCAAACTTTAATGATAGCTTTAAAAATGGAAGTTAGGTCAAAAAACGCGTGGAATAAACAAACAAGGAAAAACCTGGACTGTCGGAGCTCTAGCGCCAGGTGGGCAGTAGGTGGGTGGCAGGTCTCTGGCTCTCTGCTGAAAACTTTGTCCCGACGCTCAAATGTCTACATAGTGGCTCTCTGGTGCTGTCAGTCCCTTTTTCCTCCTTGGATCTTATTTAGAAGTCTTCAAGGCCCAACGCAACAAACCACGCGTGTCCTAATCAGATTTGGGTCACACAACCCAACATAATGTATAATGACTGAACAGAGGACCATGGTTTGATAAATCCTCCCTCGAAAATCAGAGGAATTAGTTTTTTTTTTTCACAATCAGGTTCAAATTGCAAATGGTGTTCCGTTCTAGCCTTTCTGGAATGATGCTGGATTATTTTTTCCTTGCAACAAACATGAGAGAAGAAGCAAAGTTTACTGAAAAGCCCATTCTGGCGTTACTAATTTGTATACAAATATGAGCCATCTAAAGAAAACACCGTGACTTTCAAAGTAAACTAGTGAGGAATGAGTCTGGTTTAAGTGGACATGCTCACAATCTTCCAATGAAATAATTTTGCATGTGGACCATAGTTTTATCCTACTTTTTAACTACATATTCCACCCCCCCACCCCCCACCCCCATCCCAAAAAAAATTAATAATAATAAATAAATAAATCATTTTTATCAAAATCACTTCAAAAAAATAAAAATCAAATAAGGACTTCCTATGTTTCTTCAGACGTTTCTATAAATTGTATGTAGATTAGACTAACATCTTTCTATTCTCCTTTTGTTTTTGATTTTTCCATTCCTTTGCTTGCTAATTTCGCCTTCCCACGTGAAAAATTGAAATCTCAGGTCTTCTTGTGCTTTGGGAATTCAGTTGCCTCAACCCGATTTTTATTGCGAGATGAATTCAACATACAGACAACACAATGCGACAATTGCATGTAAGTATTTTTTGAAGTGCCTGTATCTAATTCAATTGATTTTGTTTGTTTCAAATATCAAGGGTTTCATGTTCTGTCTCCAACAAGTTGCTTGCATTTTTTCCATTGTCGCAATGATTGTTGGAAGTGAAGAAATTTCAGAGGCTTCTCATATACTGTCTTCCTTAGCTGACATGGTCTATTGCATGTAAGAAACTTTACTTTCCCTCGTCATTCCGCAAATACCTATTGATGTATCTAAAAATTTCCTCCTCGTATCATTCTGCTATTTTGGTTTTGCAGGGTTTGTACTTGTATGCAGGTAAGCTAGAATTTATCAATTTGAACTTCGAAAAGCAAATTTTCTAAAGTTCGGATAAAATGGCGCTAATGTTATCATTCAAGATTATATACCGATCTCTTGTTTTATTATCTATTCTCCAATTCATCGTTTTTGTATGATTTCTCTTTTTGTCTGTACTTCAGACACAACACAAGATCGAAATGGACAAACGGGATGGTATATTTGGCCCACAGCCAATGACAGTGCCTCCTGCCCAGCAAATGTCACGCCTTGATCAGCCATATGCCCCCACCGCTGGATATCCTCCACCTTCATAGGGGCAATCTTATTATCGGCCACCTCCACAGGCTCAAGGTTGTCCTCCCCAAGCTTCAGGGTACCCTTCTGCTGGCTACCTCCCTGTTGGTTACCCTCAGAAGTGATCTTTCTTGAGTTTGATGTGAAAATTGCTCTTAGTGTGCACCATTTGATAGCCGTAGCTGGCATTTTTTCTGTTTGAGATTGTGAGTACATGATGAGAGTTGTGATATGATGGCTTGTTTGTGAAGTTCCTCCATGCATATGTTCTTGAAGTTTTAATGTGTATTTGTCCATTTTTATACCTAAATTCCTGGTTCAACTTATGGTATTGAGTCGACATTCGTGTACTCTACAGACGGCAAAAGTTTGGATATTGTTCACTTATGCGTAATGAAGCTTTTCATTTTCTTCATATATTTCTCTACATGTTCGACATGTACTCTTATTATACTTTTAACCATTGAATCTGACTTAGAATACAATTTTTTTTTTTTCATATAAGCATCTCCACGAAAACAAAGAAAAATAGTCTTGTTTGGGATTGCTTTTCAAGCCCCAGTTTTGTTTGTCGAAAATATTTTAGATATTTGGTAAACTTTAAAAAAAAAAAATTAAGAAAAGATTGTGGAAGTGGAAGAATTCATACCATCCGTTAGCAGATTTTAGAAAATAGTAGCTAATTAAAAGTCTGATTGGAATGAATCCCTTTGAAGATACAACTTACCAAATAAGCCAATCGTGTCTAACTTCAAAAAAATTATTAAATAAGTCCAAGTTAGAGCAGCATATTGTTGAAAATTCAGAAAAAGAGGAGCAAATTAATGCGCTTTGGAACATACAAGGCTTGGGTTTTGCTTTTAACAAGATTGAAATCAACTTTTAATGGTATTTAATTTTTGAGTTATTAGTAACTATTTTCTTGATTTTCATAGTCAAAATACGTTTATCAATGTAGTAAGGTTGCTGAAGCTATTCTTGACCATCGAATCACTCGGGCTTCTAGAAAAGATCATCAGGAGTACTTGGTCAAATGGATGGGATGCAGCAGCGAGGAGAATACTTGGGAAAGAGAAAAAGATCTCGGGGCCTTCAAATCATTAATTGAAGAGTATCATGCATTGATGGCACCGAGGACGTCGCCAAAACAAATGGGGGAGAATGTCAAGGACCGCAGCTTTACTTAGCCCCTTGACAATATCGCAGCCGCAGTTTGCCCAACTTCGGCCGCACATTGTAAATATTACTTCAAGTTTGAGTTGTAATTTTCGTTTCATTGTAATAGTTATTTTAATTGTAAAATAGCTCTGATATTGGTAAAAGATTAGTATGATTCCTCGTCTTTTAAACGTCTACTCCCGTCACTTGAGTTTTTGTTCAGAATGCTATTATAGGGGGTATTAGTCATTCAAAAATCTTTCAAGCTCACTGGTGTCCGCCCCCTGCACCAGCATTTGTAATTTTCTGCTTTCATCAATTGTAATGTTCAGTTTTCAGCAATCAATGTTCAATTTACTTTCAATGTATTCAAATTCTCAATTGTAAGCTTTCTACAAAATTGCAATCAAATTTTCTTTCGTCCCGACGCGACCGAGAAAAGGCGGAAGGTAGTCTAGCGGAGCAGACTACTGCCGCACGGTGTCCCTTTCTGTGCCAAGAAGAAAGGTACCCCGTGAAACGACGTCTATTTAAGCATCAACGTCGACTGACTGAATGTATATGGATGGAATTAGGGATGTTCGATTACACACTTAAATCTAAAGATAATGCTTATTGCAGGAGGCTTATATCAATGCGATAGAAAAATGGTTGCTTTCAACATGACCTATATTTTGGCTTCAGCAGAACATGTAACATGATCCATGATTCCAAGAAAGGCTGAAACAAAATAGTGGATCCAGAAGTTGACTAAAAGAAAACTAGAATGAAATTGCTATTGAGTAATATATCAAACCATAGCTTCCTTTTTTTTTTCTTCAAGCTGCTGCAGTTCAACTAATCGTTGAGCCCACGCTCTTTCCCTTGCAACTGCAGCCATCTTTCGCTCCACCCTCTGCATGTTTTTCTTCCGTTTGGCCTCTTGAAATTGAGCTTTACGCTTCTTTTTTTCAGACTGCACAAGAGCAAAACAAGTCATCATTAATAGCAAAGTATATATTGTTAAGAGATAACAAAATTAATCACCCTAAGGAAATGAGTACAAAGAAGTTCTAGAATCGTTTAATGCCACCCCAAACCAGGAAAAAAATAAAATAAAATAAAATAAAAACTCAAAGATGGGAAATTGGGAATGTTAAGTAGCTGCCTGAAGTTACCATTACAAGTAAAGGATAAAACAGAATAATGAGAAATCCTTCATCTGGGTAAGCATGAAACATTTAACAAGAGCAGAGTCGCAGACAGGATTTAATAACATTTCTTTACTGTCAGTTCTCTACTAAAAGTGCTGTTGAGAACCAATCTGCACCAGAAACCTTGACTGGCTACTTGTCAGATTTCAAGCCATTGTTTAACAAGAGCAGAGTCGCAGACAGGATTTAATAACATTTCTTTACTGTCAGTTCTCTACTAAAAGTGCTGTTGAGAACCAATCTGCACCAGAAACCTTGACTGGCTACTTGTCAGATTTCAAGCCAACAAAGGCTAAAATAAAACTACCTCTTTCCATAGTTGAGAGACCTAATTCAAGTTGGATAACTCTCAAATAGCTTATTACCTTTATAGGCACATTAACAAATAATTAAATCTTTCTTAAATGAATATTTTTTAGTATTTCCAAAGACTAAGTTTTTTATACACAACTATTACATATCATATAATCATCCCTCCCCAAGAAAAAACCCATCTGATAGCAGCAGCAGAGACCCATCTGCAATAACATTTCCCTAATCCATCTACTTCAACCATTACCACAAATGGGACTGCCACCTTCAAACCCATAAGCAAGTAGAAACACAAACCATTCACCGCTGCCACCATCTCCAAAACCTTAAACCCACAGCCAATGGACCGTTCCAAGATATTAAGGTTGTATTTTGTTTTACTATTTCCAAGTTGTTTCTAATTTTAATTTTGTAAAACACACAAAACTTGTTCAATCTGTTATTTTTGAGAATACAATTTAGAAAACAAGGTTAAACTTATAACATTAAACTCAAAACATCATTTAAATGAAAAGAGAGAAAAAAAAAAGATTAATCTACATAATTATTTTTATTTTTTTATTTCCTATGCTTTGTAATCATGTGATTCAATTTTACTTTTATAGGGAGAATAGATAAAATTCATCAACTTAAAAATTTATATGTTAACTATTAGCATAAAATTGTTTTATTTTACAAAATGATAAATTAAACGCATTTTTAGCAATCTTAAAACAAATTCTCAAAAGATAAAAATAAAGTCAAATTGAAAACTGAAACCAAACCAAACTGACCCTAAACTACAATAGCCATCCCTAACACTGCTTTCTTAACACTAAATAAAAGGGGGAAAATGATGGGAAACATTGATTAATGAGACTACATTTGAAAATTTCTTAGTTCGTAAGTCACTCTGCTTCAGATTCTAGAAGGAATTCAATCAACATTCTAATTTGCTACCCTGCTTCCTTTAGTTTAGGAACTGCTTGGTTAGTTGTTATAGCTCTTGCCTATATATATGTAACGCATGAATGAAAAGCAGGGAAAAATTTATTCAATTAACTGGGGTTTTTCTTTCACCCAAAGAAAGAACTATATTTTCAATACTTTTGGCTCTGACTGGGACCCATCATCATCTTAAAGATATCTAAGATTTTAAAGGCTGGAAAGTTCATTCCAGTATCTTGTTCTAATCTGCAAAACTGCAATATGATTTCCCAGAACCAAAGGATGTCATTGGTAAAGCAGAAAGTTAACTACCACCACTACTAAGTACATACCAACTATTGAGACACAAATCCAACTTCAAACATTTGCATTTCATCAACCGCAACTCGCAATATAAGTAATAGTTATTGAACTATTTGCTAAAAAACTTGGTAACTATCGCATTTTTAACATCGACGTGAAAACAATAGGGAAAAAAGAACCAATTCTTAGATATAACAACAAAAGTGAAGCGAAGAGAAAACTAGAAATGCACATACCAATATAAAAGCACGATGCTGTTTGATTCGCTTCTTCTCATTCCTTCGCTTGACACTTCCTTCATTGGGCTGATTAGGAAGTATCGGTTGACCCGGCAAATATTTCACCCACGCATATGGCCCTAAAATTTTTCCACAGCAACAATATTAGTTGCATTTTACTTTAATTCCTCTAGCCAAACAATTCTAATTTGTTTATGTTAAAGAAAAGGCATCTGAGTAATATATGTCGCTTATTTTTTTAACCTTATAAATCCTAAATATGAATATTGTAAAATGAGATGGTGACCTGGGGGTCTTAAGCTGGCTCTTTTCCGTCGAGGCTTGTCACTTGGGCGGCGTTTTGGATAGCGACTGTCAGTTAGGCTATGGAAGGCAGAGGACGGTGGAATCCAAGGAAGATTGCAGCCGAAGGAGCCAAAGAGGTAGCGGTGCTGCCGTAGTGGAGACGGAGAGGTTGTTGCAGGGAAGAAATGAGATGCAGTTGGGGTTGACAGAAGGGATCCGCATACCGGTCGGATTATGGATCTCAAAGCTCGGAAACCCATTGCGTCGCACCAAGTATGTGAGCTGTGAAGGGAAATGGCTTTGGCTCACAAATGAAAAATAGAAGAGAAAAACATAACGACGTCGTTATATTCTAGACTTGCCCTCATTCAGTTTGTTTCATGTCTAGGCTAATGGGCCTGGCCCAACGATTTTTTTGCTAGACATTCAATCGGGCCTGGCCTAGCAATTTTTATGCTAGATATACAGTCTAAGGAAATTACACAATCACCCAACATTTAGGGGTCAAGTTAAAAATTAGGTAAATACGCCCCGTTTGCACCTATTATTTCGAATTATAATAGGTGAAATAGTATTTGTTAGAAGAATGAGTGACTAAAAATAAAAAGAAAGAAAAAGAAAGAGAAAACAGAAAGAAAAAGAAAGAAAAAGAAAGCCAAATAAATGTGGAAATAATTTTCTTTAATTTCGACTTTTCTTTCAGTTAGCTTTTCAATTCGAATTTACATTTTATAGGGACTAAAAATACAAATAAGAATGAAAATTTTTCTTCCACATATGGGCCTACAAATAGGTCAATATTTTTTGTCAGTAAAAGACATATCTTACTCATCAAATTTTTTTATCGAAAAAAATATAAATTTTTGTGGGCACAAATCTTCCTATTATTGAAAATTTTAATGCAAATTATATCCCTATGAAAACTTCATATTTGTCGGGAAAAGTGAATTCCACCTACAAATATTAATTTATCTCCCGAAAAATTGTGAGGAAAGTATAAAATTCTTGTAGTGTAGAAAACAAACAAGGGTTATCTTAAGGGTAGTGGTGGATCCAAGAATTGCTGTCAGCTAGAGCGACCATTGACCGTTGACCTTCAACAGTTGCAATAGCGAGATCGTTTATTACAATGTAATTAAAAAATATTAAAAATTCTTCAATCAATCGTGACATTTTTTGTAACTGTAGACTGATTGTGATTTTATTGTAAAATATTGAGGATTAATTCGGTCATTTAAATATTGTAGACAAATTTTATGTGTCTTGTTATCAACAAATATGAATAACTCCTATTTAAATCATTATTTAATATAGGGGTATATTAAAAATGTAAGAAAATTTATATTTTTAATTATATTAGTTATAGTTCCTCTTAATCTGTATAAAAATATAACGAGTCTATCTTTGTAGGATGAAGGGAATTGTAAAATTTTTAAGAGCATGTTTGAGGCCCATTTATCAGTTAAAATTGTATATTGTAATGGTAGATTAATGAAGAATATGTGATTAAAAAAATTAGAAAATTTTCGCATTTGTATATAATATTATTTTATTGAAAAATAAGCGATTAAAAAGAGAGAGAGAGAGAGAGAATTATATTTTGGAAATAAAGTGGATCAAACAAGCCCTAAGTCAAAGTTAATAAATACAAAGTACCATGCTATATGTACATAAAGGTTGACACGGTGATTTACACCCATATGAGTTTGACAGATCTTGGTATATTTATGTCGACAACACGTTTTCCAATCAACTATCATATTTTTGATATATAGGGGTATCAAGGTGTAAAGTCCCGAAAAACAAAATAATAATATACCACAAAAAATAGTGAATTAAATTAAATCAAAATCCCTGTTGCTCTTCAAAACAAACATTTCATCCGTCTATTGTCTGCTATTAAAATCTTGTCTGTTTATAAACCACAAATCAACATATAAAATTCACAGAACTTCCTAAATCACCAAATTCAATTCAATATTGCTATGTGTCGAACGTACAAGTTGGGCCAGAACAGTTTGTGTGGGCTATTGCTGAAGTTGGTTAAGGGCTGGGCTTATAAGCCAAAACCCAGTTGCAGGTGTATCTATTTAATTTCTGTTTTCTTTGTATACGACTTAGTCCAAGTCGTGGAGTAGTGGTCTAAAGAGTAGTTATTTAATTCTTTTTGTTGTCAGCTCTTAGTGGAGCATTAGGAGTTCGTGTATGAACGTGTCCGAGCTTATATCTGTTGACACCAAAATATTCTGTCTTTTACATTTGGAGGTCAGGCTCCCTCGAAGAAGCCATTCAAAGTGTGAAAAAGTGATTTAGCTACTTTGGCACATAGCAAATATAAATAAATTTTATCTGTAAAAATTGTAAATCACCAACTCAATATATGTAAATCACAATACAACAATCTGTAAATCATCAATCAAACTCAAAAATTAAAAAAAAAATAATAATAATAAATAAAAATAGGTACGAACTTGGCTGGACCACTTGAGGCTGGCGGAGCCAGCAGGCAATGGGCAGATGATTCACGTACTGGCAGGCGACGCCGTGGCGGGCTCTTCACATTTAACGTACGTTTCGAACTGGGTAAAAAGGGGCGAGAAGAAGTATAATTCAGAAAAAGGGTTTAGGGAATGATAGAATTGGAAATGGGATTAGGGCCAACGTTTTGTCATCGAGTATCAGAGTATGGGCTAATGGTAAATCAGTGAATGGGCCTATTAAATTGTACACACTTTTCTGCCTTACTAAGTTGCTAGGCTTATTTATTGAGCACGTTTTGTAAAGGAAAAAATAAAATAAAAAGGCAAAAAAAATAATTTACCTGCGGAGCGGCGGCCACCCTAGCTGGTTCTGCTAGTGCATAAGGGGTATACAATTTGAGCAATGGATGTATACAATGGTGTACACATAGCATTACACCCCTTCATATGGAGGGAGACCCACATATAATAAAATATTTGTAGACGCTCCTCCATGTGAGAGGAGTGTAGATCATTGTATACACTATAAGGTGTACACATAGTAATATCCCATACAATTTAAACAAATGACGCCTCAATTCTATTGACTACAAGTACATTGTTCAAGTATGAAGTATTTATATTTCAGTTTGTTTCGCTTTTTGTGCAATTAAATAAAAATCGAAACAAAGTTTGAACTTTTCATAAGTTGAAAAGAGAGAGAAGTCTGACATATTAACAAGAAGAGAATGAAATATAACAATAAAAAAATAAATATCGTCAACTCACTGAATAATGTAGTTGCCTGCACACCTTGTATTGTAGAAGAAAAATCGAAAATGGAAATCAATTAATTTGCTCTAATTACGGAATCTCGCCTCGCACATCCTCACAATCCAGGCCTTAGATCTTGATTCAATTTGGTACTGGAAGCCTCTAAAAATGAATTGAAATGGAGAGGCCCTAATTTGCCCCTTGGGTTGCTAGGCTTTTAATAAACAGATTTAACCCCCGTTTGATCTCCATTCTATCCAAATTTTATAGATTGGAATATTGTTTTTTTGATAAATGTATGGTTCAAAAAGAATGAAAAGTTTCTGTTTTGCGTGTAATATTATTTTATGGAAGATTGTATGGTTGAAAATAAGAGAGAGAAAAAGAATGAGAAGGAGAATGGGGGCCAAACAGGGGCTTAGTTTTTGCCCAAATTAGAAATCTAATGGCCTTCTTCAATCATCTTCTTCTTCTTCTTCTTTTTTTTTTTTTTTTTTTTTTTTTTTCCCTAGTTATGCATGTTATTTTGATTATAATTCATTTAATTAAGATGAATTAATTTTTTTTTTTAAATATTTTTACTTACGTGAAGAGGGTAAAGAGGATATGGGAAGTACCACTTCGTATGTGAGAACTTAACATTGTCGCATTAAGTCTATGTAAATTCTATTTTAATGAAAGTTTTCAACAGTTTATAGAAGTTTTAATTGAAAGTATATACATGTCTAAAATTGAAAGTATATAAAAGAAAAACTGATAAGAAATAATTCAAAATTTGAACTCCTAAAATTCCTGTTTTATCCTTACAAATTTTGACTCCTAGAAGATATAGCACATGATAACCAACTACGCTACTTAAATGCCGCAATTGAAATTACATTGCTAGTAGTTAGAGTTCCAAATTTTGTTAACGATTTTTTTTTTTATTAAAGGATAATGATTAAAAATTCCTGCCTCCTCAACATTATCAAAAATAAAATTGTAATTATTATACTTTTACGGTTTTTTTCTCTGTTTTGAAACGACCATTCCATTTTCACCTACAAGGTGATTTCCCTTAGCAGTAATTTCCTTTCTATGCTCTTCTTTTTTCCTCTGATTTTCTAGGCTATAGTAAACTGCAATAGAATAAGGTCGATCATACACATCCGAAGGAATAGAAAAAGCTCAAGACACTCATTTTCATCCACATAAGACTTCTAAAAGAATGTTTTAATAGAAGAGTACAATTATACAATATAATCACATACAATACACTATTGCTTTGTGATGGAAATATAGAAGTGATGGAGAAGAAACAAAAAGAAAATCACAAGAAAATATTGCAACAAGATGAACAAAACTAGAAAAATTGTAATAACAAATGTGAAGGCTCGAACGCAGGATGCTGTCCTCAAAAGTTATTTGCCCTTTCTCCTGTATTTTCGAGATGTTTAAAAGTATTTCAGCAAATATTTTAAAGGATTGTAAAGAATTTCACCAAAACATAAAGTAAAATGTGAAATTCTTCAAAACTTGAAAAACACGAAAATATGAATGTAAACCGGGATTTTATTGTTTTTAGAACAAAGTATGGATTGTGAGATGTTTTTCTAACATCATTCCCTCAAACATGGCTCTCATATATATAGCCATCAACCAGAAGTACAAAATAGTACTAAAAAATCAAATGAAAAGTCACCACTTTCAAATTTGCAACGACCACAGCTTGTTTAGTGCATGCTTTCAAACTTTGGGTTGCCTAAAACTTTTTTGGGTTGAAGCTGTTACCACAGCTTGTTTTCTGATCAACCGCTCACTCTCAACTGTCATTGGGAAAAAGACGCCAGAAGAGGTATGGTCTAGTAAACCTTCTTATTATACTAATTTGAAGATTTTTAGGTGTCCTGTTTATGTTCATGCAGATAATGAGAAGTTAGAGCCTAGGACTAGAAAGTGTCTTTTTTAGGAACAAATCAAGTGTGAATGAATATAAATTGTGGTGCCCTGAGATAAGAAAAGTGATGATTAGTAGAAATATAGTATTTGATGAACTTGTTATGATTCATGGTTCACCTTGTGTGGATTCTGATAAAATAGAGGAACGGAATCATTCAACTCAGGTGGAATTGAAAATTGGTCCAGGTGAACAATGAAAGGCTTCAGAACAGTGAAGCTCAAAATTGATAGACAGTAATACTTCACCTACTTTGCCTACACCACCAGCAACATCACAGTATTCTATTGCTAACGATTAACGTCACAGACAGTGGCTGAAAAAATTGATTCCATTGAGGAGCTTGCTACATATACGTAGGCAGTCAGTTGCAGTGATTCTAGCAGATGATTAATTGCTATACATGAGGAGCTGGAGTCATTAAAAAAAAATTGTACTTGGGACTTGGTGAAATTACCGAAGGATAAAATGGTAGTTTGCTGCAAATGGGTATTCAAATGGAAATAATGAATATCAGGGACTGAAAATGGAAACAAATGATACAATGTAGCCCAATATTTTGTAGAACGATGCTTTGTTTGTTGTTTATTGCCCCTATGCCATTATATTTTATCTTAGGGGAATTTACAAAATTGTCACCAAAAATGAAAGTTAAAAAAAAATTGTCATTTTCATTTTTTGTGAGCAAAAATATCACATTTTTGGGGTGCAAAGTCCAAATTACCCTTAATCACACATTTCTAATAGCATTAAATGCTTGATGTAAAGGAAAAGCATTGACTTGATGTAATCATTTAATTTATATATAGAAAACATGGGTAAATGTATATTTTATTGATTAATATGAATTTTTGTTAATAAAAAATTACCAAATAAATTAGAAAACGAAACATAAACAAGAAACCCTACCTCTTTTCCATCTTCTTCATTTTCATTGATCAAGAAGACATTTGTGTTGCATTCTACATCCACTTTGAGATGTTAGCAATTACAAATTATTTTATTTTACTTTTATAGTTTTGTATTTGTACATATTAAATACAACATGGGCATATTTATTTGAAATTAATTTGAAAGTATTATGCATTCATTTGTTTGATTTTTTTGAATCCTTAATAAAATGCCATTATCACCATTGAGTAATTTCTTCCATTACCACCATTAAGGTCTTTTTAATGACAAGGCCAATATGCCATTTTCATTTTGTCATTTGGTAGGTGAATAATAATAGCCACACTTAATATGATGTGTTGAAGAAACCTCAGAAATTCACTGCCGTCTGCTTCCCGACATTCTCGACAGTTAAACTGTCGAGTTCGACATTTACAAATCGTCGGGTTAGATGTTTGAGATGTCGAACCTGACATTTCGAAACTGCCTAGTTATACAATTTTACTTTCAATTTGGATACTTCAAAACGATACGAACCCTTGATTTGAACTTTTGTTATTGTACTGATTTACGTATTATAAAGTGTGAGTTTAATGCTATTAAATGCCAACATATTGATTCCGAATTGTTACCATTGCAATCCCAACATTTCAGGTATGAATAATCATTTGAGATTCGTCATGTCGCATGGGGGAAATTTTGTTCATGCGGATGACGAATGGAAGTGGAGAGGGGACAAAACTAATTCCATTCTGGTGCCAACAAGTATTATCGTAGCCGAACTTATGTTAAGGTTGAAGGAGAAACTTGGTATTCTTGATCTCCGCGCTAAAATTGAATTGAAGTTCAAAGTCCCTAACTTGAATATACCTCCGGCTGAAATATGCGACAATGAAGACTTAAATTGGTACGTATCAGTGCATAAGGAAAGTGCTATATGCGTTACTGTTTTGGAATCTGATCTCCCAAGTGTTGACATGGGAAGGGATGCAAATTTTCAAGATCCTTCGTTTGCCGCGGTAGATGTTCTGCAAAACGTGGAACATGATTTGGTGAATCGAATGTATACTGTCTCAAACAATAATGCACTTGAAACACATGAGTATGATAACGGGACTGCACCATTAGATGAGAACTTGGATAACCCATCACCTAGTTTAGAGGCTGCTAATTTTGTTGACGTCGAGGACGAGTACTCTTTGTCACATTCCAACGATTCGGATGGATATGAATTTATGAGAACTGTGACTACATCCGATCTTGCCGAAAAGGAAATATTCTTCAGCAAGAAAGAGTTGTACTTGAAAATTCGTGCACTTGCTTTGAAAAACAAGTTCCAATTTCGGGTGAGCAGGTCAAGTATGAAGATGTTAACCGTTGTATGCACTGGCAGCAGTTGCAAGTGGATGTTACGTGCTTCTACTGTGAAGCAGTCTGCAATCTTTGTGATTTGTAAATTCAATAATGTGCACACATGTTCCATCGATTTTCGCAGTAATGCGTATCGACATGTGACGAGTGTTGTAATTGCCGAGCATATTTTGAAAAAATTGGATAATTCGAACCGATCGTATGATCTGAACACTATTGCACATGACATGGAACGTGAGCTCGGTGTCCAAATAAGTTACAGCAAGGCACGTAGGGGGAAGGTGGCCGTTTTACATATGCTGCATGGGACACTGGAGGACAGTTTTCAGAAACTATCTTCATACTGTCACGTACTAGGTGAGAATAACTTGAGGACGGTAACCCACATCGAACATGATTCGCGCGATATATTTCATTACTTCTTCCTAGCTTTTGGTGCAAGCATTCGTGGTTACATGCAGTACTTGAGGCCCGTTGTTTACGTTGACGGTAGTCATTTGAAAGGTCCATACAAGGGTACACTTTTACTGGCAACTGCCCAAGATGCCAACAAACAGATTTATCCCTTAGCGTGGGGGATTGTGGATTCCGAAACTAACCAATCTTAGATGTGGTTTATGTCTAACTTGAAAGATCTTATAGGAGACTCAGATGAACTTGTATTTGTTTCGGACAGGAAAAGAAGTATCGAAAGAACTATTACTCACTTATTTCCTTTGTCTCGTCATTGTTGTTGTATGTGGCATGTGGAGAAGAACCTAATTCAGCGGCACTTTAATGCAAGTTCAATATTCCTGTTCAAACGAGCTGCTACAACTTATCAGGTCGAAGAGTTCGAACGACTAATGGGACAGACTCGCAGGGTCAGTGAAAGATGTTACAGGTATTTGGAGAAAGCTGATTTTTCATTCTGGTCACGAGCACTATTCGTGGGCGACCGATACAACATTATGACAAACAACAACGCGGAATCATTGAACTCAATGCTGAGACATGCTCGTTCGTTGCCAATCACGTGTTTGGTCGAGCACATTCGTAAAACAATGCAGAGGTGGTTTTACGAACGTCGAAGCAATGCAACCGCATGCAGTACTATATTATCGTCGACGATGGAGAACTAGTTACAAACAACTTTTGAAGCTGGTACTAGGCTTCGAGCCCATGAGTTGACAAATAGCTTGACCCAGGTTAGAATATCCAACGATACGGAGATAGTGGACTTCTCCGATAACACGTGCACATGTCATGAGTTTCAACTAAATCGTATGCCATGTGCTCATACAACTCGTGGTGCTACCCTGAGTGGTGAGTCATTATACGATCTATGCTCTTCGTACTATACATCGGAATACTGGACTAGTGCCTATATGGAAGTCATATATCCCGTTACACAGGAAGTGGATTGGATTGTTCCAAATGAAATCCTAGGCACTCATATTTTGCCACCGACTGTACGTCGTCCTCCAGGTAGACCACCGACGCGACATAAGCGAGCTAGATACGAGTCCACTACCCAACTAAGGAAATGCACTCGATGTGGGAGATTTGGTCATAACCGGACCACATGTTCGAACCCTATTGTATCACAAGCCACTTGAAGAAGCGTGATGTATAAAAGTGGTTGTCAAATGTAATCCCCAAAAAACTTAATTTAAATAAGCATTGTACATTCCCAACTTATTTTATAAATCTATTATTATTATCGTATGCCAATGCAAATTTGGTCGTTATGTTCCGCAAGCAAAGTACCGATTATTACCGTTCCATTATCACAAATGAGATGAATACCTTTTTCTTACTATAAACTTAGCCGATCATAGAAGTTTCATTACCTTCGACTGACAGTTTGTCGAAATGAAAATTGATTTTCATGAGACCATACTGAACAAACAAAACACCAACATTACGTCTTGACAGTTCATATGTCGTTCCTGACAGATAATCTCTGTAATTCTCGACAGTTGGGAACAACAGCGGCTTGAAAACCTACACTACTGCGGTTGCCTATTATGGAGATGCAGTTTCTGCACGTATCCAGAGAACGTGACCAAAATCATCCATACCACAAAATAATAAACATATTTTCCTACAAAAGGGCCATTTATTGCACAGTTGCACTGCTTTTGACAATTTAAGAAGCTTCCCCACTTTCTCCATCAGACTCGTCTGAGCTAATGACAATTACTTCTGGAGGTGGAACATGAGCCACCCACTCATTCGAGTCGGACGGTGACTCGACCGGACCCCTGACCTCGAAGACTTGATCTAGAACGCTGTTCGGTGACTTAGAATCTGCAATTGACACTTCATCGAACTTGGCACCATGCTGTTCAACTCTTACATCCTCATCGTCTGACAACAAAATGATGGGAAATTTAGCGGATGAACCCAATATTGGCTGATGCATATTGGAGTTGAATGTTTCATTGCTAGAGGTGGATGAACCCATTATCTCGTATCAACTACCTGTTTCAAAATAGAAGTCTCGCAACAGCTTTAATGACATCTGAAATGTAATTTGATAGACAATGCTTGTAATGCATTCATTATGTAAGTATAAATGTATTGGAAATACTTGTTACTTGCAAAAAATCAGAAACGTATAATATCTATAATAGCATGTTACACTAAGACACTTGTATTGGACAATCCCACCATTTTCAATTTTTGAAAAGCAAGGAACTTATAAAATTTAATGGCCCGCCTAGTTGAACTGTCGGGCCCGATAGATGTTTTATTCCTTCTCAACAGTTGACAAAAACGTGCATTGCAGTAAAGATCATATAATTTCGAATTTTGTAAACTGCAAAATAAATGAAGAAGAATAAATAGAAGTAGCTCTTTCTTACCACAATGCTGTTCAACTACGTTGAAAGTGTCACAATGATTCGTAGGTAAGTTCAAAGTGGCACAATACCTTGGCTACAAAATTGCTTGTAAGCAACAATGGTCTCCTGACATTTATAATCATCCTGAAAGGAGGAAGTAATTACTTCATTTATCTACCCAACCACCAAATTCAATCTCTAAATAAATTTGAAAAGCAATTGGTGTGATGGTTGATATAATAAGTATACCTTTATCCCCCATTGTACCATCATTACTATGACATTGGCAAAGACTAGAATACTTCAATGATGTGTAAAATTCATGTTATCTAGTTTCTTACAACAAATTACTTCTCATTTGCCAGCTTCTTAGTTGCACCATGGTTGTAATGGTACAGTTTCTCACGAAACACACTCATCATGTTAACCCACATAATAACATACGAAGGACTAGAGAATATACATAAACTCATTTGTCAATTAGTTGTACCATAGAAGTCATGACTTTGGCACTTTTAATGGGTCCTCATCTTAATCCAATCTATAGTTTACTAAGGCACTACGACATTTAAGCCCGCTATTTACTCGTAAATAGATATTCGTATAACATACACATACATAATTTTTTGTGTAATACAATGTACGAGCATTGACAAAAATTGAATGAAGCACTTAGTGCCGTAAGTACGATTGACATAACATAATAAAGCCGGATAACTAATACAAGTTGTAACACCATAATAATTTCAGCAATGGTAAACGGTGACAAGGCATTCACCACGGGAATTTGCAAAATGTGACGAATGCGTCTAAGTGTCACCAGGCTTGCCAACTACCCTGACTGATATGTAAATCACAAAAATGAATGAAAAAGGCACCAATATAAAGTGAATTAACAAACATCCTTCACCACGTAAATTACATCAAAAAAAGACAAAAGCATGCTGAACCCCATCATCGTGCTATGTTTGGCAATTTATCTACAGTTACTTATGCTTTTGCTTTGCGCTCCCCCTCGTGTACGGAGTCTTGGTAGCAGGTGCCGGACGTCGCATTCGTGCCGATCGCCGTCTCTTTGTCGTAACTTCCCGTCCTGGTCGGGTTACATTGGCGGGAACTGGGAAAGTTGCAATGTAAGCAAATGAAACGAAAAATAAATTCAATTGTCAAAAATTAAGGCAATACCTTGCACTTCATCCACTGCAGCGAGCACTAGCACGGGGTCATTGTCGGGGCATGGCTCAATGTGTACTGTGTCTGTCGAAAAGAACAATGAAATATTTTCAGTGTATAACTTACATCTACGAATTTTCAAATTATGCCAAGTACATGAAACAACAATCTACAAGTTTTCCTCAAAAATGACCCACATACCTTGCAGATTTATGGTTCCAGTAGGCAGCATGTCCTGTTCTTTGTCACGGTCGCCAGGCGATGGGTGGTGGGCCCCTTCGACTACAACAAATGAACAATTGTAAACTAATTGAATGCCTGAAATAATATTTGTTCAAATCGTGAAAAATAATGCAATACCTTGCACTTCTTCGATTGTAGAGGGCTCTGGCACGGGGTGATCCTCCGGGCATGGCTAAATGTGTGCTATGTCTATTCAGAACAACAACGAAACAGCGAATGGAAAGTGAATTTTAACAATTTTCAAAACTTCCGAAACATATGAAATGATAATTAATCAATTTGCTCAAAAGTAACTGACGTACCTTGCAGACTTTCGGTTCTAGTGGCTAGTGGCATATCCTGCTCGTCCAGGCATGGCTCCATGTGTTCTTCATTAATGCACATACCATCCTCCTCTTGCCTGTCAATTCCCATGTCTTCGTTAATACCGTCAGGCGATGGGTGGTGGCCTGCAAAGCCTCCGTAGTCTACAATGAATGAACAATTGTCATACAGAACATGTCAGTGAGCAGGGATAAAGTGAACATTGTCATAAAGAACTGTAGTACGCATGTGGTGAAGTACCTGATTGTCTGGGCTCGGGGTCCACATCAGTCGCACATGCAGTGGTTGTAGAGCCGGATGCGGGACAATGGTGGATATGAAGTCCTTCAATTTTTTAAATTCATCGGACAGGTGCTACATGATTTCGAGCTTCACAGTGCGAAGCTACATTTCGAACAGAATTCTTTGATCTAGCAACATGCCCTGAACATCGTCTGCTGTGAGGCTTGATCCAGCCGTTACAGTTGGTCGGACATGAGAGGTGGACGGTGCCTGCATGGGAGAAGTAGCTCCTTGCAGGTGGGGGGTAGAAAAAGTCCCCGTCTGTCCACTTCGTCGAACTTGATCACCGTCACTATCCCCACCGTCATGCTCCTCCGAGTCCTCATCTTCGTCCTCTCCATTCTCATCGGCTCCTGACTCCTCCTCCTTGCCACTGGTCTCCCCACCGTCATGGGCCTCTTCAGAAGTCTCATCCTCGGGAGTGCCTATACGCTCTGCTTGGAACTGCGGAACAACACTGTCCCTGGCAAGGTCATCCAACGCAGGGACAGGATGATCATTAAGCAGCACAAGAGTTGCGATATGAGGTTGCCCACGCTTAGTGTCGCGTACACATGTAGCTACAACATGAACATATTCGTTACGAAATAACCACATGCTACAATGACGAATGGAAGGTATGAGAACGTAAAAGTAACATAATTTTTTACTTGTACATTCTTGAAGAAAGCATCGTACGTACGCTGCTGCGGCTGTTTTGTTGATGTCCAGCCGAGAAGCCGTGGGGAACGTTCCCCAAGACGCTGACTGAAGCGATCACCAATTTCAGGCACCGCCTCGAACGCCCATATCTGTTACAATAAAAAAGGAATGTGAGTTCAGAACGAAACCAACCACGAATAGTAATGGCAACGGGGCGGGTTCAAGGCAGGCACCCCCACTCCGCCTCGCCCCGCCCCATTTGGCAAAAATCCCGCCCCGTCCCGTGCCCCACCCCGCCTTAGACGGGGCGGGACGGGGCAACTTTTTGCCCCGTTTGATTTTTTTATTATTTTTATTTTTATTATTTACATTTTGAAAGTTTCGAATTATGTTATTATTAGATAATAAAATACAAATTTAAAATGAATTTTTAACGGATGAATTGTTTTGAAATAAAATTATTTTTAATTTTTTTTTTTTACTTTTTCTTCACGGGGCGGGTTTTGGGCGGGGCATCCTCGCCCCACCCCGCCTCATGCCCCGTCACGGGGCGACCATTTACGCCCCGCCCCACCCCACGCCCCGCCACGGGGAGGGTTTTTTTGCCCCATTCGGGGCGGGGCGGGGTAAATTGCCATCATTAACCACGAAATACATTTGCATTGAAATAATGAGTAGGTAAAATAAAAATACCTGTATGGCAATGGGAAAGCCGTGGACCGTGTAGCTAACCGCCTTCTCATTCTTCTTCGTCGCATCCAAAAATTTTCTTGCCCAACGGCCCCGAAAGCCCTTTATCAGCTGTCCATACGAGATTCTACCCCAAGGATACGAAAAGAACAAGTCGACGATCATCGACGATCGACAACGTCTCCATATCAATACCAACGTTGTTATCCGGAGCATTGAAGACTCATTCGATGATCAAAGCGAGGCCAAGCTTGTACCGATTGGCTCGAGACGTTCACGATCGAAGAAATGTTTGCTCGAGTTGGGCGCACGAAATCTTGTCCACATGTTTAAAGTATGTCCTTTAGTCTCCTCTTGTCAAGAACTCGGTCCATGACATTGTCATCTGGGAGAAGACCACACCTTAATCCAATCACAAGGGCATACTCTTGAATTTCGAACCTAGCGAGGTGGCCTTGCAAATTAAACCATAGTTCGTGCCGCTTATTTATTTGTATGCAGCAGAATACGAGTTGTTGGATTAATTGGGCAGAGAACTGGAGATCTGAAACCTCGGACAAGAACCCAGGCATGAGTTGCGAAACTCTGCCCGCTGTCACTCGTTAAAATGTTCCACGACCGTTTTTATATACCGCAGATTGTTTCTCTGCGATACATGGCCCCGCAAGCGTGCATTCTCTGGAACAAGAGGCTCGAAATCCATGTCTACAAAGACAAAATAAGAAATAAATGCGTCGGACTAGAATATAAACTTCCTACCAACATAGAACCAAAAACCACAAGTATGTTGTGAAGTGTCTTTCAACAGTTCCTCCCGTATGCAACGAGTGCTACCCACAAGGTCAATGTGTGCAAGTGAAACTAAGGTTATGACACAAGTAACAGAAATATTGAAACAGAAGATATGCACACATCAAACATGATTTCCACCAAATGCATATGAGTACCAACCATAGTACTTCAATAAAATAGCCCCAATTCAGCCCACTGAACTTCAGAAATTGTTGCATGCAAAAAAGAAAAGGAATACTGATATTTGAACGCATATTACATAGAAATATCATTTTCTACTGTAGGCAGGGCTAGGCAGGCAGGAACTGAACTGTCGGTCCCGACATTTTATCCATCGATGGTTCATCTGTCGAGAATTACAGAGGATAACTGTCGGGAACGATAGTTGAGAAACAACTATGGATAGATGAACTGTCGGGAAATTTAGTTTTGAATATGTTCCTTGTTATTAACATATTTTGATCATACAAAACAAAAAATAACTGCAACTGCAAAGAAAAGACCAATGTTTGAACCAATGGAATTAGTTGTTTACGGTTAATATGTAGAAATTTAAAACCCTGTGCTTGTCCTATTTACACACTATAACCTCCCTCAAACTTGCTGAAGTTGCATATGTTTCCTTAAAAACCCATACAATTTGTAATGCATATTTCTAAACCACAAGCTTATTCCACATTAAATCTAACAAGCAAATTATTTTATTGTACAAAATTAGTAAGAAAGGTTGCTGGTCAATAAAGTACTTGTTACTAACCCAAAACATAATTGTTCCCTACTGGAACAATTGGAGATTCATATTTCCAAGGTTAAAGAAGAAGTTTTTAGTAGAAAAGATATACTTGAAAAACTTGAAAAATGGTTGGCTGCTTGTGAAGAGGAGTGCTGACTGGAGGAGTACAATAGCGTGGGTTATATGTTGCTCAAGTGAAATGACTTGTACTACTGTTTTTATCTGTTTTCATCTCTCTTACTCACTATCTAAAATGATCCTAATTTAAGATGGCAATCGTTATAATGTTGGGAGAGGTACCCATCTTATGCTAAAGCGTGCTGAGAAAGCTTGAGCTCTTATTAGCAAAATTTCAGGTACATATCTCACTTTTTAATATAATTGTGGTGAGGTGGGAAATATGTTTAATGTGTTGGGGGAGCCATATGTTCTATATGGTATTTAATGGTATATGAGTAGCTTTGCCAATTGCCTCAGGTTTATTAAATTTCTAATTCTGAGACACCCAAATAACCAATAAAACAATGCCAGGTTCTAGAGATTGGCAATCTCCTTTACTTAGACTCCGGATGTTAAATTTAGTAATATGGCGCGAGGAGTTAATTTGATTTCTTTGAAACAGAGGGTCAATGAATAGTAGAGCATCTGCTTTTAGAATAAATATTTGTTGATGTCATTAAGTTTCTCTCTCATCAGAATATCATGGAGGTAAGATCACAGGTTAACGTGTATGATGAACGCGAGAAAATAATTTCTTTTTTATTTTGAGATTCAGGGAAAGATAACCTTTGATAGTTTATTTGGTATTCTTATGGAGCAACATCACTTTTCTTTCATTTCTGTATGTGTTTGAATTGATGAACTTAGTGACTTTGGTTTGGTTGGTTTCATAGGGATGGTGGAAATATTGAAATCTAAATTGAAAGCTTGGGAAAAAGAAAGAGGTTTTCAGTTCTTGTATAATGGTGTAAGCATTTCTCTTGCTAGAAGTACCTTACTTGACAAACTGATCTCATTAGGAAGATTTCATCTTAAAAGAGCAAACTTATTAAGAGAAATAGTATAAGCCCTTATATGTTGGTTTATATTTGTATGTTTGTTCGATATGAAATTTTATTCCTCGCCATGTCTTGTAAGATGATAGCTCTTTTGAGGAACCTAATCTTGAAATTCATGTACTTGTTTGGATCTTAATCAAATGGATCTTAATCAAATTGAATTGTTTGTTGGAACTTAATTGGCTCTGATACGATATGAATCCCTTTCGGTATAGATTTAAATCAGATTTTTAGTAATGTCGATAAAAGTTGATGAAATATGTGGTTGAAAAGTTGTAGGCTCAATGAAATGTATAGTTAAAATTAATTGTTAATTTTGACTTGAGATTAAAATCAAATTTTTATTTGTACGAAAAAGGTGTTAAGATTTGAGGTTCAATCTTAAAATATTAGCATTGTTAAGATAAATAATCCAAACCCTTATGTAGGTTTACATTAAATTTTATTAAACGTGGGAAATATATCCCTCAACAGATCTCATATTTGTCTTTTCTTTAGGCAACCTATGTATATTGAATCACTTTTTCTAAAAGTTTCAGTTGTTAAAGAGGAATGTGTTTATTAATTTAATTTTAGTATTCAAGACGCCTCTCATATGCAAGGTAGATGAATTTTTCATCAAAAGGTGTAGTATAAGTGGGTAAAGACAAGACTTGAATTTGGAACCTTGCTCTGATACTTTGATGAACCATCTTATCTATTATGGCTAATTCTTGGTTTCTTACCATCCAAGTTGGTCTTGTCTCTATACTCGAAAAGTACCATGTCTTAAAGCAGCAGAAAGAGCAAGAACATCAAAGGCAGAGGGTATCCTTACTATTTGAACAAATATTGATGTTGGATTTAGTTTTCAGTTACTGCAACTAAATGTTATAATCATGAATGTGCGTATTAGGACCAGAAGAAGCTTCAAGGACCATTTATAGCAGAGAAGGAAGCACTTTTTGGATCAAAACGAGTCCATCACACAGTGGGAAGAAAAATTCTTGACCTTCAACAGGAGGTGTGACCGATAAGAGACTTTCTTTAGGAAGGGCAGTTCTTTGAAATGCATATGCAAAGAAAGCTGGTCTCTCGTTGCATTCTCATATGAAGCAGCAAACTTCACCCATCCATAACCAAAGTGGTTTTAGCAATCACTCTCTTGGTAATATAACTGAAACCTATTATCTAAAACAACATAATTACTACTTGAAAAAGACAAGTTGGGTTCGATCAGTCATCATAGGTGCAGGAAACTCAAATACAGTAAACTGACAATTACGCAAACTAATAAAGTATCATTTTAAGACAAAATATTTCAAAATTCATTAAATCACTCTGTAAAACAAAATCATAAATTACCCTAATGTAAAACAAAATCATAAATTACCCTAACGTAATGGCAAAAAATAAGGAACTAAAAAAAAAATACAAAGACAGAGAGAGAGAGACGGGTTTATAGTGACAATAGTAGCCGAGGGTGGAGGCTCAACGTCGACGACTTGGTGGCAGCAGGTTCAACTCACAAGCCTAGAGAAAGCTCGACGTTTAATCACGTCGGAGGTGCTGAGATTGCCGTGTTCAGCAGCTGCCGGAGTTAAATATTTCAAAATTCAATAAATCACTCTGTAAAACAAAATCATAAATTACCCTAATGTAATGGCAAAAAAACAGGAAGTAAAAAGAGAGAGAGAGAGAGAGAGGGGGGTTTAGAGTGACAGTAGTCGCCGAGAGTGACGTTTAATCACGCCGGAGGTGTTGAGACTGCCGTGCTCAGCAGCTGCCGGACTTCCTCTGAATACTAATTCGATTTGGGAAAACCAAATGGGGAGAGAGAGAGAACGTGAGATGATGGGAGGAACAATAATGGAAGAGAGAAAGGCTGATTCGGTTTTCAAATTTCTCATCTAGTCATGTCTCATTAATGAAGGATATACAAGGTATTGAAATTATTAAGAGGGCCAGAAATGTCCAAAAATCTCCAAAAATGACAATTTCGTAATCTCTTTTAAAAAATGACATTTTTGTAAATGCAAATCCAAAATTTGACATATAGTGTAATTTCCACTTTAATCTTATTGGGCATCATACTTCATCTAAACATTTTGCAAGTGTTAAATTATGTATGTTAATTTCAGATTCTTTGGAGCATGTTTGAATCGAGAATAGCAACGTTAGCACTGGTTATGATGCTAATGCACTTAAAGCGGTTGGGATGAGTATGAAATTGCATATAACAAACCAACTACAAAAGTCGATATCCGAAGAGTTCAGGTGGAATCTTCTTCGGGCTCAGGTATAGCATTTGTGTGGAATCTTCTTCGGGCTCAGGTATAGCATTTGCTAGTGAGATGTCAGGTGGCATCTCCAATATTCTAGTCGAGCACGTTGACATTTGTGACCCCCCAACTGGCGTAAATGTGAAGAGGGGACAAGGACAGGGTTGGTATATCAAAGACATCTATCTATATATCAAATGCGTTAATGGAAAATGTACATCAAAGACTCAAGGCAAATAGTCAGAGTGATTTCAGCATTATTTCAAATTAATAGTCATTTCTTTGGCATTGTAAATTCTTGGACACATTTTTGCTGGGTGATCGATTGACGGAAAGCTCAGGATGAAATGGTGTGAAGATAGGAGATGAATTCTTTAATACAAGTCATTTTTCAATTTCTTTTGTCTAAATTTACTAGTGTATGGGGTAAAAAATTATATTAAATTGATTTTTCGAAAATTACATTTTCCCCGCACTGTCATAACAATTCAATCTAGTATTCGTCCACTCAGTAATCCTTTGCAGAACATCAGATACAAATTATTTTCACTACTGACAACATACTTCAGTGAGCAGTTATGTGTAAATGTTACCAGACCAAACTGATATATCAAGCTATTAGAATTCTTACAAGCATCAAGCAGCAGTATTTCAACAAATAGACATCGTGAAATTTCTGGGAATTTAACAAGAAGTGTAACAATCTCACGTGGAATCATTATACAGAAGTAACTATAGTAAAAACTGTCATCAACTCAAAGGACGTTGAATTTGCTTTTTTTCCATGCATAACGAAGGAAGAGGATCCATTCCCATTTTTACACAAGTTGACCCAGAGAACTTCGTCTTTGCAACCTGATTTTATATTCTATACTTTTTACAGGAGTTTTTATCTTTAAGGTGCTGATTGGGACGCAAGTTGAACCCAGACGAATTCTTCTTTGTAACCCTCTCCTTTACACGAAGTCTCGCACGTGTAAACAACAATCGTTGCCCAATCAAGAGAATCCACATCATTCTGCACCCCAAAGTAATAAAGTAGTTGGGGCAAAACCTGAAATCATAGAACCAACCAAAGCATGAACCTATGGATTTGAAGGGATAACAAGGATGTAGATAAAATCCAAACAATAACCATTAGACTCCCTTTCCATCCAGACTGATTATGAGAATTTGAATAATCAAGCCGCGCTAACAATTTACGTACTGCTATGAAACCCAGGTAATTAAAACTAAAAGTGGTACAACTAAACATTTAGTGAAATCATGATAAAAAGTTCCAAAGCAATTGGAGCTTCGAAATTAAAATCCAAATTTTAATCTAAGTCAAATTCGACAATTAATTTTAATTGCACATTTCATGAGATCCAAAACTTTTCAACCAAACATTTCATTAATTTTTATCAAATCTATTAAAAATCTTAGTTTAATTCCCACCAAACAGGGCCTTTTTTTTTTCATCGTTTTCAATTGATATATATTTTTGTTTGGACGTCAATAGCTAAAATATTCAATATAATACAGATAATTTAAGTAGTGGAACATTGAAACTTGCGATATTGTAAAGCGCAATTTTGATATAGATATAAATAGAGTGAGAGTTTATATTTTGAAAAGTTAAATGAAGAGTCTTTTAGAACTTAATTTTAAGATTTGACTCCTTAAAATAAAGAGCATCTCACTTTGTCTAGGATAAACATTTAACTCCAGAACTTCACAGATGGTAAAACCACCAACCAATTACTAGCAATAGAAGTTCAGAGGCATAAACAAGTTCGCACCTGAAACTCGAAACCTCGAGTGCCACCACAGTAGTTGCATGCAGGAATATCAGATCTTGATGGCTGACCACTGTACACCGGCCACAATGCTCTTGCTTTAGCAGATCTACAGTACCTGTTCAAAAAATGAAATTACAACCTGAAGACTGAGGAACAGAATTTAAAAGATCTTGGTGGACAACAAAAAGGAAAATATTAGTAAAAATATATGTCCTACGGATAAATCAAGTGATCACCTCAACACTTGCTCAGGGGCACGGGATATTATTTCCTGGAAAGATGACCAACTCCTCTTGTCATCATCTCCCTATTCAATGACAATTAAACCGAGAATGAAAATGATCATTCATTCAGCCAAAACTTCACAATCCACAGACAAGTACACTCACCGCAAAATCATCCATCAGTGACTTGACTGACTCATCCACCCGATTTCCAGAAACTAATGCATTAGAATATTCACTATCAGACATCTCCTGCTCAAATTCACATTCATCCTCATTTGTGATCATATACTGTGGCCACAGAGAATTGCTCGCAACTATTTGCAAATAAAATTTTCAGTCAGCATGAAATATGAAATATGTACTCTAGTTTTCAATTAATGAGATTAGTAAATTTATGGAACATCTGATGAGTCGTGTCATGTTACAATCTAGGAATAAAGTTCTCGCTTATCCCTGTATAGGTGGCTACCTGATTCAGACATTTCAAAAGAAGTGTGCAACTATTCTATGGCCAGAACGCCAATGTGCAGCCTGCAAATATCCATTTTCCCCTCTTGTCAATATGGAACACTTCAAGTTGCTATGTTATACGTGTACAGAGGCAAAATTCATCAAAATACCTGGTGTTTCCCAGAACAATATCGTGCTTCTCTGCAGCTACTACACACTTTATCCCCTTTCCATGTACCACACCAATTACAAAGTTTTGCTGAGATGGGTAAGGTAGAATCAATCAATCAAATAATTGCACTACAGAACTTTAGCTTATGTCTTCTATATGTACCAGATATTTCTTAACAAACAATATATATTTCTTAACAACAGATTAAAATGAACAATACAAACTTGACATACTTCACTACTGTTAAGAAATTAATTGTATTGATATGATACCTCCAGCTGTCAAAGGTTGCTCTATCCCATCTTCATGAGGGGCATCGCTTGAATAAAACAAATTTGTGCATGGTAATTGACAACGGAAAACCTTGACACTTGAAAACCCAGTTGACATGAGAAGATAAGATCAGAAAATAGTTAGTTATTTACACAACCTCCATACGCAAAGATATACCTTCTGCATGGCTTCTCAGGATGCCGCTTACATTGCTCGTGCTGATCGCGAAGAAGACAAGTCATTGATGGGCACATGAAAACAAACAGGGTGCGGTGAAATGTTGATTCCTCAGATAGTGGTGCATAAACATGGGAAATCAATGAACGTTAAAGAATAAATCAAAGAGAATGGAATGCTGGAAGAAGATAACAGAGTGCACTAGATCTGTATTTATAGCTTTTATACACCTGTAGCAAAAACTGCAATGGCTCACTGCAAAAATCACAAAGATTAGCCTTCTCGGAAGGCAAATTAATCGGGTCCAACCAAGCCTACATTACCAATAAAACAAGTAATCCCCATTGCAGAAAAACAAAATTAAAACTCTATACTTTCTTTATTCAATTCTACCGCTTCTAAATCATAAACTTTAGCTGCATTTTCGGCAGCGTTCAATATTGGCAACATTTTTTTTTTCTGGAGTGAACAGAAAAGGGCAACATTTTAAGCGCACAGGTAGTCTAAATAAAATCAGTATTTTAAATTTATAAAGTAATATGAAATTCTGCACTGCGAGCAGTATGAGCGGGTGGGAAATTTGGCAGTGCTTAAAAGTGAATTTTACTTGATTTTCTTGACAGAATGACTCTACATAAAGTTTAAGCACAGCCAAACATGCTGTAAATTAGAAAATTTCAGGGTATATGATATCTTGTGTAGAACTCATGTGAGAAAGAATCAGAAGAATTACCGAAGTGCCACCAGCTTTGCTTGGGAAATAATGGCGGAGTAGTGACCACTTATTTTTTGGCTTCTCAACAAATCCGAATGTTACAAGAACTCGTTCTTCATCATCTTCATCTTCATCATTGTATAAATCTGGGTCATCAATTTCGTCCACTTGAGCTTCGTCATCTTCTTCTTCATCGAGAGATGATATGCGCAGGGTCTTGAACTTCCCTTCATTTGCATCAAATTCCATTTTCTTTGACATTCTTCTTTTTTCGCTAATTGATAACAGAAAAGATAAGAAATTCGAGAATGAAGAATTTCAGGGCAAACGCATTCAAAGCTAGATAATCATGTAAAGACCATTCAAACGCATTCCATAAAAAACTTATAAGTAAAATATTACTTGTAAGATAAGAAAAATTATATTATAATTAAAAATTAATTATAAGTAAAAAAAATATGTAAAAAATTACTAAAAAATAAAAATTCCACCAATAAGACAAAAAATATTTATAAAATGTAAAAAAATTACTTATAAATAAAAAAATTCACAAAAAGTCATTTAAAAGAAAAAAATTAACTTATATAATTGTAAAAGTTACTTATAAGTAAAAATATTAACTTAAAATTTTAAATTAATATTTAAATTTTTATTTAATTTTTTAAATTAAATTTTAACGTATATGTTAAAAAAATAAAAAATAAAAAAGTGTAAGTAAAATATAACTTATGAGTAAAACATATTAATATAAAAGAAAACATTACTATTATATACGTAATTTTATTATTTTAAAAAACTTTCAAAACCGGTGGATATTAAATTCTCAATTGTAGGTTAGCAATTTTAAAAAATACTACTAAAATCTCTCAAAACCGATCTGCTCATAAATGCTATACGACGAAACTCCCAAGCAGGCCCTAAGGATTTGTTGTTGCCTTTGCACCCACCTCCCGATTTCCATCGAGAGAAATGGATTATGGAGTTTGGGTTTGGAAATGAGAAATCTTATTTGGGCCCAAAGTTTTTTTTTTAAATGGCCCAATTTCCAGATCAGCCCAAACTGCCAAAGAAAAAAAATGTGGAAATCTCACCACGTACGGTGTTATTTATTTAAATTCATATTTTAGTTCTAGACATTATTTATACCGAAAATACTACAATTTTTATAGTAAAAATGCTAACTGAAAAAGCACCTCTCTCATCAATTAATGTAATCATTGACCTCAATCACTCCATCAAACATGCCCCAAATCATCCACTTAAGTTGCCAAAAGAAAAATCCAATCACAGTCTTTTTATTTACAAAAAATATAAAATCTTAAAATTGCCCATTATCTTGAATCACTAGAAGGAATCATACTATCTGTAGCTTTATTCAAATCACAATCTTATTTTCTGTATGAAATCGTGCTAAGAAATCGACATCCACACTTCAATCTAGCGGGTTTCGAATTTTTATTTCGTTTGCATAATTCCTAATATAGATAAAGACACTTGCATCCAACCGGTATAACAATCCAAAAGTTCTTGATTTGCACGTTATGAAGATATGCACTAGCCTATTACCGCAACAAGACATGAGTACACACACACACACACACACATATGTAGTGTTAGTGCTACAATTGATGAATAGCATAAATTATTCAGAGATGGATAAGTGGAATGATTATACAAATTCAACTTATAGTTCTTGTGCAACTGAATGAAAAAGTTATATAGCATTACATAATTTATATGCTCATGTCAATTCGATTTCAACTTGTGATATAAGTTCGTATAATTAAAAAATTTAGCAAATGGATTTTGGACAAAATGAAGCCTATGATATTTTACAAAATCCATATTCAATATCAAACTCCCCAATAAATTGATTTGTAAAAATAGAAATAAAGTGAATTATTTTGTGTTGCGTTTGCTTAGGATATGTTAGAAATTGATACAATTACATATAATCTCTATAAAAGAAAAATGTGTAATATAATTCTGATGTATAAAATTTCGAATTGCACAACAATGAAGACTTCACTGCAATCTCTCTTGAACAATCTACGATTATTATAATCCCAATTGTAATGTTAATTGTTATTTAATAATAACTTGCTATTCTAATTAGAATCTCCATATTTTTAGCATATGGAGTTAATATCACCAATTTACTTGCCTCTTGAAATTTTTAGTTACAGTTCCAATAAGGAAAATTTCATATGCAGTAATATAGAGATTTTAAAGGGATTATGCAGTAAAATCGGTTAATAAAACAATTGAGTTGTATAAAATGAAATAATATATATTAAGCATGTATTTATGATTTTTTTTCCCGAAAAAAAATTGTTTTGTCTTCTTTCTTCTCCGCGCTTCGTAGCTCCTATTCCACAATGGCAGCTTCGGCTTCCTCTGTCGCGCATCGGCTGCGCATGCCACCAACCTGGCGGCCACTGAAGCTCCCGACAAATCCAGCACGGGCGGCCGTGTGGACTCGCTACTAGCTGGATCCACCAGTGACTATACAAGTATGAAGTATTTACATTTTTTGTTTGTTTCAATTTTTGTGCAATTAAATGAAACTCAAAACAAAGTTTGAACTTTTCATAGCCTAAAAAGAGAGAATTTTCACATATTAACAAGAAGAGAATGAAGTATAATAATAAATATAAATCTATCATCGACTCACCAAATTGTGTAGCTGTTTACATGCCTGCACACCTCATATTGTAGAAGAGAAATTGCAAATGGAATTTGATTAATTTGCTCTAATTTATTTTTATTTTATTTAAATATAAAGACATATTCATCATTTTACATCTTTTAATTAAGAAAATAGAAGAAAATAGTGATTTCATCAATGAAATGTGAAAATAATGGTGAAAATGCCAAAAATAAAAATAAAAGGTAGGGAAGTTTTGCATAATAATAATGAAAAGTATGGATGTTTTGTACTAATTATTCTTTTAATAATTTATTTGGACTCATTTACAATTTTTTTAAAAGTTTAGGAGTATAATTACAATTTGTTCTTTAATTTTTCTTTTCTTTTATTTAAATAGGAAGGTATATTTGTCATTTTACATTTTTTTTATTGAGAAAATGACCTTTTCTACAATGAAAGGTGAAAATATGGATGAAAAATACCAAAAAACGAAAAGTAAGGACATTTTATACAATAACATTAGAAGGTATGGATATTTTGTACTAATTACCCCTTATGGAAGCAATGTTACATAGCCCAAATTGACTGTATATATATATAATTCAATCACATTAATGAATAAAAAAACACAAATCTTTCAAGAAGTGCAAACTAGAGAAAAACTCTCTATAAAGTGCATTTGGTAAAAGACAATGTCCTCATCTGATTCGTCAAGTCTATTAACTTGCCTCTTAGATTGGGACTTGCTCACTCTCTTTGACAATTCAGGTTTTAATGCATACATCTTCACGGAAAAATAGTCCATCAGGGAATCCTTTTTTGTCCTAAAATATTATTTTCAAAATCATATAGAAAGGCTAAACACTAAAGGAAATTGCTGTTTGTACAGTCCATGTAGGACTGTACATTTACAGCTCTCTCTCATCAGTGGGGTACTCAATTACTTTAATTATGGACCCACACCTTGTATGTGAGTGTGATGTGAACCATGCTGTACCCATAGCACATCTCAACACTAAAAGTCAAGGGGAAAAAAAAAAAGAAAGAAAACCCCATAATTGTTAATCAAATGGATCAAAGTTTTAGTAATCAACACGATGTCTACATACCACATACCTTCAACTGCAAATTTTTTCAATTACCTTAAAGAAAGGCCAAACATATAATTTTATAGAGTATCACATTTGGCAAAATTAAATCTCTCTTATTATAGGTGCAACCATTGCTAATCTGATTTAACCAAAAAATGAAAATTTGTAACAAATTGGGAAAAATGAAAGCATAGAAGAAAAAATTGAGTAAATTGCAATTGTAGTGAAAAAGAAAAGGACTAATAAGATGGTGAAATGAAGTATAGGCAACCTGTGTATCAGCTTCATGTTTGAACAGAACAGTTGATCGGGGATAGACCGCGTAAGTTGATTATTTCACAAATGGCTGTAAACAATGAAAATCACTTCTTGTGAATGGTGAAAGCAATAATGAAGCAGAAACGTAATTCTAAATGCTTTAACAACTTTGAGAGTATTCATAGCAGTGTCTAGCATTAAGTAGCATGTCCAAACCCAATGTAGTGTTGCTCGCAATTGGAATAGTACCATTGAGCTTGTTATTGTTAGTGCGAAAACGAAGTGTTGAAGAAAAACTTGAATTTTTATTGATAGTTTTTGAGTTGCTACAGCACACTCAATAATGTTCTCTTTTTTTTTTTTTTTTTTACAATGAGACTACAAGAATGATCTCTATTTATAGGACCACATGGATAACTCTAGAGACATGGGAATATAAATGGACACCTAATAATTCATGAATTTGCATCATGTATTTTCCTTATACATTTTCTTCAAGTGCATCATGTATTTTCCTGATACATTTTCTTCAAGTGCATGTAACCTTATTTATTTCCTAAGATTACAAATTAATGCCACATTTAACACCCCCTCTTAATTTGTAATCTTGAGTTTTTCCTTGATCTTGTCGAACTTGTCAAATGTGACTGCCTTTGTTAAAATGTCTGCTGGCTGATCATTTGTGTTGATAAATTCCATGCAAATTTCTTCTCGACTTACCAAATCTCGAATGAAGTGATGACGTAGTTCAATATGCTTCGATCTGGCATGAAAAATTGGATTTTTTGTCATAGCAATTGCTGACATATTGTCGCAATGTCTTGTTGTTGGCTCTTGTTGTTCAAACATCAAGTCTTTTAGAATTCTTCTAAGCCAAACTGCTTCACAAGCGGCATCCGCAGCTGCAATGTATTCCGCTTCTGCAGAAGATAGTGCTATAGACCTTTGCTTCCTCGAACTCCATGAAATAATATTTGTTCCAAGACAAAAGATGTAGCCCGATGTACTTTTGCGGTCAACAAGTGAGCCTGCCCAATCACTATCAGTGTAGCCAACAAGGTTGAAGTTATTTTCCTTTTTGAACTCAATGCCTTGATTCTTGCTTGGTTCATTCATGAACCTGGAAAGTAAACTCACTGATTGAGTGATATCCGGCCTTGTGTTGAGGTAGATGAGTGAACCAATTAACTTTCGGTAGAGTGTAGCATCTACTTTTTCAGCATCATCATTGACTTGGAATTTTTCATTCGGCCCCATTGGAGTAGAGACTGGCTTGCACTGGTTCATGCTGAATTTTTCTAGAAGATCATCAATATACTTCTCTTGAGATAAAAAAATTCGTCCCGGGCTTTGTTTGACTTGG